ATATTGAGATAAACAAGAATTGAATTAAAATATTAAATTTTCTGATCTGATAAAATAGATAAAGATTATAACAGGTATTTTCTAAACCTTGCCTAATTTGCTGTTGACATTTTAAAAAATATATTCAGAAAATCTTTAAACTTGATTCATTCATTTCAAATTTTGTTTCAACTTAATAGGAAATTATATCCCACATACTTACATTCTCTCTCTGTAAGTTAGGATTTTAGTTTTATTCTTGAATCGTTATTCTTCATTATAATATTTTTTGTTACATTCTATGGCTAAAGGGATTCATTGATATAGCTAGGCAATCAGACAGATGGCCAAAAGAGCTTTTTGTCATTTCCAGCTTGGAAAATAGTGGAAGAAAGTCATGATTGGTCTTGCTTAAGTCACATGATACTCTTGATTCAATATCTGTGGGGTGATATAATAGGCAATACTATAATTACATGTTTTTTTCTAAGGTCAGGATGTTTTCTGAGATTCCCAAGTGGGAAGGAGATTAACTACTCTTATTTATGGGCCACATATTATGTTCCAGTTTTTGACAATTCTTGGAGTTTAATCTCATCTCAGTAATAATCAGCAACTAGTTTTCAAGCTGCAGGGGATAATCTGAGAATCAAAGAATAGTGGGGGCTTTCCTTTTTCCATTAACACTAGTGGACTACATTATTCTTCCTCAGTTCAGAGTAAAACATGGCTAAGTTAGTAATACTGGCTATACATCTGTGTGTCTGTAAATATTTTAAAGAATTAACTATATAATTAAATCTTCAAAGTAATGAATTTATTAGCTTACTTATCATTGTATGTTTGGTTACCTTAAACTGTGGATGTTAGAATGATAAAATAACTTCTAATTTCTAAAATAAACATTTCAGTAGCTTTTCCAGCTGAACAATGAAAAAATCACAAACTTAATACATATTTTCCCCAAAATATGTGTTGTTTTTTTATAGTAGTTTAATTCACATGGTAGCTGTTATGCATACATGGTAGTTGGTTGTGTCTGTTTTGATCTCATCTTAGTTAGGCCAGCCAATCATGTATGATTTTTTTTTGAGGGTTTGTTTATTATGTTATAGTTGTAGATGTTTTTTACATAATAGTCTTTATTTTGTAGAGTAATTTTAGATTTATAAGCAAATTATGCAGACAGCATCAAGATTTCCCATATGTTCCATGATGCTCCCTATTATCTCCTCCCAGTATGAAAATCCTGTGCTAGAATGGAACATTTGTTATAAATAGTAAACCTACATTGACACATTATTATCATTTCAGTTCACTTTTGATGTTATACCTTTTGCACTTTTGTTTTAATTGTAAATGATGTGTATCCACCATTGTATCCTACAGAACAGTTTTACTGTCCTAAAAATCTGTATTTCACCTTTTCATTCTTTCCCTCCTTGACTCTGGCAACCAGAGATCCTATTTCATTGTCTGGATGTACCATTTTTTTACTCATTCACCTACTGAAGGGCACCTTCGTTGCTCAGTTGCTAAGCTTTAGTAATTTTGAATAAAGCTGCTATAAATATCTATGTAGAGGTTTTTGTGTAGATTAGTTTTCAACTCTTTTAGATAGATGACAAGGATGGCAATTGATGGCTTATATGATTATGGTACATCTAGTTTTATAAGAAATGGCTCAGTTGTCTTCCAGAATGGTATACCATTCTGCACTCTAATCAGCAATGAATGAGAATTTCTGTTTCTCCATACCCTTGCTGGCATTTGGTGTTGTTAGTGCTTTGCGTGTTAGCCATTCTATTAGATGTGTAGCAATATTTCTTTTTATTTTGCATTCATCCAATGGCATATGGTCTCCTTCACTTATATTTATTCACTTAGTTAAAAGACATCTATTGAGCACTTGCTGTATGCATATACATAAATATCTAATAGATACTTTTATAAAATAAATTATATTTTTATACTTTTATTATTCAAAACACTGAATTGGAACAGATGGTGATTGTCTTTCAGACATACTAGTAATGTTAGTAATTTTTACAGGAGGTTCTTTTAAAAATATGTTTCTTTTCCATATTGTGCTTTAATATGCTTATTTTATCTCTGTGTGTTTATAATCATGTATATGTGTACGATATACTAACTATAAGGAAGTATTATTTATAATATAGAAGATAAACACACATTAGAATTTAGTAGAAAGCCCTATACTTGAATAGTTTCTTTTTCTTACTAAACATTTTCCCTGTCTCTCTGTTTCTTTCTCTGTCTGTAGTACAGGGGATCAAAACCATAGCAGTTCTGTCACTAAGTCCCAGACACTTTTACTTTTTATTTTGAGACAATTTCATTCTAAGTTGACCAGGTGGGACTCGAACTTGCAATCTTTTGCCTCAGGCTCCCAAAGTACTTGGATTAAAAGTATCTATCAACACACTTGGCTTCTGAGTCTCTTTTTGAAAAAACACAAATAATATAACTTTATTTTAGAAAATTTGCAAAATATATATAAGAAAAAAGCAAACAAACTATAACACTAATGAAAATTTTAAAATCCATTGTAATTTGTTTTTTGTAGGTATATCTGACTATTTTTATATAAACATATTCCTCCTCTTTCTGCAAAATGGGCTATGCTATATATTTTTTGTTTTGAATATTACTCATGGTAGACTCTTTTGGAGGATAATTTTTATTAATTTTACTTAGGACAACTGAACAGTGTAACTGAACAATTTAACTCAGTTTAGAGGTGAGTGTTTTAGCTTTTTACCTTTTCTGTTTGGTAATGTGAATTATAGACTGTAGACCCAGGACTTTGCCTTTCCAGTGATGGTGGATCTCAGTATATCACTGTAATTAGTTCTGATAGTTCCATCAACTTAGTGAGAGCCCTTATCTTCCAGGTGAAATTTTCCGAGGACAGTGGTGGTACACGTCTTTCTATGGAGTAAATGTGCCACACTCTAGCCTTCCTCTTGATGGTGCAGTATGAAACTCCACCTTAATGACACAGGATAGGCAAAAAGACAACCAGCTAGGCAGAAATATGATAGACTTTGAACATTTATGTCATTTCAGTTTTTCCTGTTATAAATGATGTTTTAATTATTGTTTTTATGTTGTATATAGGAATTTATATGTAGTCTTAGGCATAAATTTCTAGAAGTGAAATTTCTTAATGTAGGGGCATAAAGACTTTTAAGAGACATATAAAGTTCTCTTCAAGGATAATTGCATCCAATTCCTTATCATCAGCAATATGTTAGTTTTATTTTCTGGCTAGCATTAATACTAGATATTTCATAAGGTACTTGGCCTTGACATTTTAAAAATATTCCACCTGTTGTTATTTAGAAAAGTTATTTGTGCTCTTTGAAAAGATCATATAATATATACCTATGTACAAAGAAAAAATATTTTACCCCTCTTGCAATTTTAAGATATCCGTTTCCAAAGATTCTATTAGTATTAAAATTTTAAGTTATGCTTTTCAAATTTATATTTTCTTACCATTATACATAGAATATGTTAATATTTTCATATGTATGACTTTTACATTAACAACTGCTTCATATTAATGTGACTAGTTTCTTCCATTTCACTTATATCTTACTAGCTTTTTCCTTATCTGGGTCTAATTTCTTTCTTTCTTTCTTTCTTTTTTTTTTTTTTTTTGTCTTTTTCATTTTTATCGGTACCAGGGATCGAACTCACGACTGCCTGCTTGCAAGGCAGGTGCTTATGCCGCTGAGCTAAATCCCCAGCCCCTAGGTCTAATTTCAACAAGTGTTTTTTCCCCCAGAAATTCTTTCGTCTTTCATCTGCCATTTTCAGAAATATTGTTTACTTCTGGGTTATGTGATTCTTTTCTTAAGGTCTTAGTTATTTAATCTGTATAGTCTCTTGCAGATTGTTCTGTTATTTAAAGTTCTTGGAGTTTTATTTTTCTCATTTGACGTATCTAATGATGCTTATAGTAGATTATTTTCTCATGTTGGTAGTTTTGAACTTTGAATTTCATTGATGCTTTATACATTGATGTGTTTGACATCTAGGTTAAGGGACCAGCTTTGCAGAGCAGGGTTGCCTAAACTTTTGCCATATAACCAGTGGAATCAGTGTTAACTGTGTTGCTTAGAAATTCTTTGCCAGCTTCACTGTTAAATGTGTACTTGAAAATTGCTAAGCACATTATCTATTTTTTGTTCTACTTTTGTTTCAACTATAAAATGTTGGGTTATGTAGTTTTTTTTTTTTTTTTTTTTGTCTTTTTCCTTTTTATCGGTACCGGGGATTGAACTCATGACTGCCTGCTTGCAAGGCAGGCGCTTATGCCACTGAGCTAAATCCCCAGGCCCAGTTATGTAGTTTCTTTTGTGTTGTCTAATCAATCAGTTACTTATGTTTTACCTTTGCTACTTTTTCTAAGTAGTATCACATTGATGTATGTATCCAATTGGTCTTGGTAAGAGTTCTAAGTAGAAAGTAGAAATTCAGTAATTTAGGATGTTAGTAAATATCTAGAAAACAGAAAATATTGCAGCTATGATAATTGCATGTAGTCACCTGTTTACATCCTCTCAATGACAAGTTAAATATTGCTAGTGCATTAAGTTGATCTGATTAATAATAACTGATGAAACCTCACAGTTGGGTTTTGTCTAAGTATGTTAATTGTGTTTTGTTTTTTAGTGAAATATACAAGCAAGTGTTTAGGCAATATATGGGAAGACTTTAGGTAAACCTACTTTTCAAAGCTGGTCCCTTAACCTAGATCTCAAACACATCTTTAATACTTTATCTAAAAAATTTTACCATTTTGTCTCCATCCTCAATCCTCATAGTTCGTTCTATGTAGATGTTCTTTGAATGGCAATTTCTTATGCTGGTGAAAGTAGGCAATTTAAAGACAATAAACAGATTTTTATGAACCAAGATTTAGACTATACTATACTTTTCGAAAGACATAAATTTAGAAAATACATATTAACATCTGTTATTCTTTATAGGCTGACCAGTTGATGTTTGCTTTGCATTTTGTTCGAGGCATGCATCCTGAACTTTTTCAAGAAAATGTAAGTTGAATTGAAGGAATAAAATTCTATTGCTTATAGACATTTGATAATGGGTATATTTTAAGTCAGATTAAAGGTTTCTTTACTCTATCAATTATATATAACCTACTAATTTCTTACTAAGATAGAAATTTAGTATTAAATGCTGTTTTCCAGTTCTATTCCATTCTTGGTAAATTCTACATTTTAGAATGACAGTGAGGAGGAAAGACACCTAGGTAACTTCAAGCTGTCTAAATTTATCTAAGCCTAGGTCCATTACTCAATATACCGCAAGAGTCTGCCCTTTTCTTTTTCTGGCTTAAGAGTTGAACTAAGAAAAAGTGAGACAGAATGAATATTCAATTATATTATTTACTTTCTGACTTGTCAAGAATCATTGAAGCAAGATAGTGGCCAGTTCTCAGGAATTTCTGGTACTGATCACTTCATGTATAATTTATCTTCTTTGTCTGTGATCTTATATTTGGTCTGTCATCTCATCCTCATTGAAACTTGAGAAGAACTTCCCTTGAGCTAGAATTCATCTCTGTGCTTCTAATTAAAAAGAAATGTTTCCAAGTATTTTTTTTTCTTGTTATTATGCATTTGTCATAAAATAAGAGTTTAGTAGCCAGGATGCAAATGCTATGCAACTGTGACCTACTAACTTTTAATGCCACTTGGTCAGAGTTTAACTGTCTTCTGCGTGTCCTTCATTCAGATAGTTAAATGAAGGCAGACCACTTGCAATTCTGCCTGTGTTCTCTCTTTCTTTCCTCCAGCTCCTTTTGATGTGGTTCATTTGTGGAGTTTTTCCTGAATTTATTTATTTTGCTTCTTTAATTCTGTTAACTTTCATGTCTTTCACTTCTATATAATTCTTTTCACCTCAATTGATATGTTTCATGTAATACAAGACCTTATGTTCCCTATTTTTTGGCCCTGGAATATAAATAAACCATCACTAGGAAAAGAAAACATTTTTCTCATAAGTGTTAGTACCCATCTCATCTATTTTAATTATATGTGACTTCATAATTATGATAGAACAGGAGTGAAGGCAAGAAGCATATTACTTTGGTAGTTTTTCCATATTACTCTCAAATATTAATATGTTTTGTTAGCTAGTGAATCACAAATAATATGGTGGTGCCAATTATCTAAATTGGAAGACTCCCAGGAGAAGACATAAATTTTCTTAGAGCACTAGATTTCATAGCACTTGATCATTTTTGATTTTTTTGTTTTAAAAAAAGAATTAATGGTAATCTTACCCTAGTCTATAAAGAAAGATAAGTTAATGGAATTTAAAAAAAAATTTAACATACAATTTTTAAATCTTTATGTACCTTACTAATAAATTAGGAATACCATATAAAAGAACAGATTAACAGGTAGGAAGAAATATTAATTACATTAGACATTTAAGTTTTAGATGTTAAAACTAACAGTAAAGTTATATATAATTTTAAAAAGTTATCAGTATAGTTTGTGTAATACATGATTAATACAGTGATCACGGGGACTAGGTGTATATATATACATGTTGTATCTTAATTATTTTCATTTCTAGTTTTCTTTCTTTTTCCCTGCCTTTTCTTTCTCTTCATCCTTAGGTCCCCTTCCCATCTGAAAACAGTCTACTTTTCTGCTTCCTACCTATGTTTCATTTACTCTTTGAATCACATATATTTTGGAATTCTCAGAGAAATCATCTTTATTTGATTTTTTTCTATTTATTTCACCATATTATATTTTTAAGGTACATTCATTTTCCTACAAATGACTTTTTTATCTTAATAAAATTATTCCTAGTGGTTTTCATTAGTACTTTATATTGGTACTTGATCTCATTCTTACAATGTTAAAAAATGTGAAAGTTTTTCTCATGTTCATAGTTGCATTATAAGCCATTTTATAAGACAATTTAAAATAACTGTTAATATGTTATTGTTGATATTTTTGTGTTCTTCATATTTTTATTTGCTAGGAGTGGGATACATTTACAGGTGTGGTTGTTGGAGATATGTTGCGGAAAGCTGTAAGTTAGAATATTATTATTTCACTAAGAGAAAATAGTCCTAGTTTGGCTTCATGAAATATTATTTACTTTAGATGAGTTTTAAATGATTATTTAAATTATACTTTAAGTAGAGAAATATGTCGTGGCTTCTCCTGCCTTCCTATAAAGTGAATATAAAACATTCTATGATGTTGAAGACCTATATTCTTTTGAGAATAATATTAAATACTAGAAGATTAACATAGTTATGTTTTCTATGTATACGTATTTTGCTCCAAGAAAAATTTTTTAATCTTTAGGAAAAAAATGGAACATTGTGTAATGTGTAGGAGAAATTCTATATAATTTCAGTTTAAAATTTACTTTCTGAAACTTTTGATAATTTATTCAAATTAAACTTTTTAGTACTTTTTATTTGAATAAATAATGGATGTTATTTTTCAGTTAATGCACTGAAAGGATAACACAGAACCTCAATTATATCTGAAATGCAGAGTATAATTGAAATAATATGTTTTATGACAATTAAATTTACCTAAAGCTTTGTGGAAAATTATGTACAGTAAAGTGAATTCATCATTTGCCTTAGTGGTTCTCTCAATACATTATGTTACATGGCAAGTTGTAAAGTATAAAGAAATAGTTCATAGAATGTGTATTTTTTTCAAAATAATGTTTATAAAAATAGCTAATTGCTATTTTTAAAATTTATATCTTATCAAATATACTCAGGAGAATAATTGCTTTTATTAAAGGATTCTCAACAGAGAATACGTGATCAAATTCCATCTTGGATAGATCAGGAAAGAAGCTGGGCAGTGGCAACATTAAAGGTATTCTTTTTCTGCATGAGAAATATTTTAATTTTTAAATATAGTTTAGTTATTTCTGTGGACATTTTTATGTGCTGTTTATTCATACTTTTTCGATGTTTCTGTGACTAGGAAAAAAATCACTCAAGGCAACTAAAGAATTACTATGATTAGCTCATTAATCAATGTTTAATTTAAGTCTTTCATTCACAAAATAGAATGTGTTTGATATATAGGTCTTCCAAATATAGAATCATCCCCTTTGCCATCCCTCTGTCCTTCAGCTGTTCTGTATTTTGTTTGTTACTCAAACCAAAGTGGTATTTTTATGGAAAACAAAAGACAAATATACTTCTCTTCAATTCCATTTGTCTGTCTATTTATCTATTATTTTTCCTCCTTATTTCTTCTGATTATTTTCCACATTATAATATTACACCAGTCTGTGGTAAAAATACTAAGTTTAGTTAGTAGTTACTCATGGCTCAGTATGTTCAAGTCATTATGCAAAATTCGTGTATTTCTAATAACGTTAAGTATTTCCAGTAACATTAGGAGCTAGCTGTTGTCTTTGTTTAAACTAAGGAGCACTTGCTTATAATCACTTAAGTAGAGGCAATTCAAAATTGGGCACCTTGAAGTGTAATCTGGGAACCAATTACTACTCTATGCATTGTTTTCACAAATGTTTATTGAATGAAATACGTGAATTCTCCTTTATACCAGTCATTGTTTTCTGCACTAATCATTTACTTGGTGCTTACTGCCAGTTTAGCATTGTATTAGTGACAAAGTTGATGCTTGACCAGATTTTAGCCAGTGTCCTGGATCTAGGTTTAGGCCCATCCATGACCTCCTGGTATATTTAGGAACTCTGCTGGTAATCAGAATTCTCCCATCTTCCATCTCTGATCAGCCATGATATCTAATTTACTTCCTTAGCTTCCTTCATCCCCCAGGTGATTCTGATCACTTTGATGTGCCTTCGAGAATACTGTTTAGTAGGTTTTGCAGAGTCCTGTGTTACCCTAATGTTTTCTCTTGGTAATTTTCTAAATGTTAATCTGTACTGATTTCTTGGTTATAAATTCCCACTTACCCACATTGTGTTAAACTTTGTTCTCTACTGACAACTGTCATTCCCTGTTTCAGTAGTCTTGAATAAAATCTGTTTTTACTGCTTTTACTACTGTCGAGCTCTATTCTTCAACATCAGTGGAGCGACAAATGTTTATTTTATATATACTGAGACTCTGCCAAAAACAAACTTGTTCTGTAGAGAATGTATCACAGAATTATCTACTCTTATGGCTAGCATTACACAAGAGCCATGACATAGTTTTGCAATTTAATTGTGGCAATATCTAAAATGTGTACTTGATTTTAATAATGTTTTCCAGCATTTTTTTTCTCCACAAGGTGGAAATAGCTAAGTGCAAATGTTTTTATGTAAAATTACAACAAATTTCTTAAGTTGTGAGTATTGCTTTACTGTTACTTCAGAAAGTTTTATTTACTCTTGGCTTTAACATGAAATACTATACTGTTTCTGATCTAGAAATGATTAGATAAGCCAGTAGGAAGTTTTAAAAAAGTATTAATAATTGGTCTTCATTTCCTTTTAAAGTTTTTAAAAAATACATGCATGTACCTATATTTACTTGCAGTTCATTATATATTGTTACTTTTATCTTTTAGATTGCTCTCCCAAGTGTTTATCAGACCCTTTGTTTTGAAGATGTAGCCCTGTGGCGTGCTTACTATCATAGTTCAATATGTGAACAAGAGTTTCCATCCATTCTTGCAAAGAAAGTTTCCTTATTTCAGCAGGTAAAATTTAATGTGTCCAAGTGCAAAAAATTATTCAGTGTTTCTGATCAGAAGTCATTTGAAGAAAGTTTTGTCTTTAGATTAGTATAACCTTTAATGGCATTTGAAAGGAAGCACTTTTTTTCCATTTTATCTAGAAAAATCACTGGCAGAATTTCTTACTAGCTTGTCTCCCACTGTAGTCTTTCTTCCTCTGCTTGTGATCCAAACAGGTTTTACAGATATCTTATAGATACATCTTACAGAAGGAAAGATACAAATTATTTAGATTATTCACTCATTTTCGATAGATTTATCTAGGAACAAGACTGAGGTGAGGAAAGAATATTTTTCCCAATTCGATTTCAAAATAGAATGAAGAAATATACCAGAAGGTTCTATTCAGTATTTTGTGTACATGAAAGTCTCAAAGTGAGAGTGTTGTCCAGGAATGAGTGCTTCAGAGAATGACTCTTCTATATATCTCTTCTTTAGGTTGTTAATTGTAGGACATGGCCTCTTAGTCTTTGTGTACTGTATAGTCAGTTCTTTCTCAACAAATGCACTTGAAAAGAAAAGAGTAAAAAATCTAGGAATGAAAACTTAAACATCTAAGATTATCATAGATATGTGCAATTCAGCATAAAAGTAGGGATTTGAAGTTTTTAGGCTTCCATTTGCTGCCACTAGAAATTCTTAGCCTATATTGTTCTATATTTTCACCTGTCATTTAGCCTTTTATTAGCTCTTGAAGATATAGCTAAACCTGTATTTACTTTAGATGATACTCTTAAATGGATTTCAGTAATACTTTGTATATGAAAGAGATGCCTTGCTATATATCTATTGTGACAGTTTTAAGCATAATCAATACTTTTTAACAGTAAGTATGCACATATTTTAATATTCGTTTAATTAGTTAACATTAATTATTGTTTATTAAAAGCTAGCTAGTAAAAGTTTATTTAAAAATATTCTGCATTTTGTTTTAAGGTTCTTGTAGTACAGGCTCTAAGACCAGACAGATTGCAAAGTGCCATGGCTCTGTTTGCATGTAAAACTTTAGGTAAGTGCAGTACTTTTCAAGAGTTGGAACATTGATGCTAGATTTTAGTGATTTGCTTGTTATCTTTTGTTACCTTGCTTGTAACTGCATTGCTCAGATCTATTTCTTTATTGTCACATTTTATTTTCCCTGTGTGTCTTCTTTTTACATGGCTGTATTCTTGTAGGGACACCTGTCATATTTAGGGGCCTTTACTTAAGTATAGTTAACCAATTATATTTACAACAATCTTATTTCCAAATGAGGTCACATTCTGAACTTCTGAGATTAGAATTTTTACATGCCTTCTTTGGGGGAGGACACAATACATACTAAGTTTTTCACAAGATGCTTCTCTTTTGCCTTTGTCAGAATATGTCTTGTTTCTACCTTGCTCTCTAATTGCATGTGTAAAAATACATGCACTCGCATACACACATAAGCCACACACAAGTGGTACCTGTGTTCACAAATTTGATTCTGTCCACAATTCTAGTTTCAGGTGAAATGCAAGTGCAGTATGTATATGCTTGCAATTTGGTTGCAACTAGAAGTTTGTGAACTGAGGTGCCGCTGTATTTTGAGTTGGCTTTAAGACGGATCAGTTGATTTGTGATGGGCATTTAAATATGATTCTGTAAATACCCTGTACTTTCTATTACTTCTGTATGGAGAGGACATTTTCCTGTTAATTCATTTCTGTTAGAATGTTTATCAATCAGTGTGGTGTTTGCAGTCCAGAATATACCTTCAAAACCTCCTGTGCTCCAGAAGTGTGGCAGGTGATTGGATTATTGGAGTGCACCAGCTAATTTACTATTGATAGGTGGATCCTGAGTGGGTGTGGGTTGTTGGTGGAATGATCTGAGTGTTGTGTCCCCCTCCCGCCTCCTCCCTTCTTTCTCTGATTCCTGGCTGCCATGAGTGAGTGGCTTTCCTCCTCTGCAGGGCCCTCCCACATGCTATTTTCTGAGTTTGAAGCTATCAGGCATGGACTGTAATTTCTGAATCTGTGAGCCACAATAAACATCTCTTCTTCAAATTGGGTGTCATATTTTGTCTCAGCTGGGAAAGGGATTAAGACAACCAAATGTCTCCTTTCTCGTGTCTGGCAGAATGTTTATCTACCAAACTGTTGATACCTATAGCAAACTCACTTAAATGGAAAAGAGAAATTTATTGGTTTAAGTAACCAGTACTCAGAAAGAAAGAACTAGAGCCGGCTTCTATGCCAGCTGATTTCATGGTCTCCTATAATAGATTTTTCTTTTCATCTAATAGTTGGAGTTTGTCTCTTTTCTACTTTTTTCTGTTGTTGTTAATGAATGTTCTTATTCCAAAGTACAATTGATGTAACCCGTCTCTGCCATTGTCATTATCTCTTGCATCATGAATTTCACCGTTTTCAGTGGCACATTTCTCACATCATGAAATATATTTTGATATCGTTTCTCTTATTCTTCCCTAGCCTCCATCATAGTTCTTACTTTTATAAAACGAATACTGAACATGTGACTGTAGCTAAAGACTAGAGTAGTCCACTTCCCCAAATCTTATTCTATGTTCAGCTCACTTTATTGACACTTCAAACTATGAAGTACCAAAAAATACTATATTCTTTCTCTTACATGAGAAAATTAAAATATAAGTAAAATATAGAGCAAAATAAAAGACAGTAGGAAACAAGAAAATAGATACTTTGTAGATGGAAGGACACCAAGAATCAGAGAGGGGAGAGGGGATAAAAAAGAATTAGATGTGTTATGTACAAACTCCCCATGATGCATGTAATCCTTATGTACCGAAACGTACTAATAAGAAAGATTACTTTTATTAAGGTCAGTCTACTTGGCTGTATCCTCTTTTGCTTTTATCTTGATTTTTCAACAAAGTTCCATTTTTTCCTTCTTTAAATATCTTGTCTTCTCTTGATTGTTATGTTCCATTTTACAACACTTTTGAACTGTCCCTTTTCTGACTCCTTAATTTTCCTCTCACAGCATTCTTCCTTCGGGTTCCTTTTTAAAATTTATTATATATTCTTGCTATAGGTGATCTCACCTAACCCCTAGTTTTAAATAGCATCTTTTAAATTACTCATATCTCTTTTTCTGTCCCCAGAATTCTAGGTTTAGGTACCTTAATGTTTATTTGATGTTTTCTTGTGAATGTCTAATAGATATTTCACGATATTGTGATCACTGCAAAACATGATTCCAAGTCTGAGACTTTCTCTAAGTTTTATTTACTTTACTTCATTACTGGTGAACTAAGTAAGCTGTCGTTGTTGCTCACCTCAGTTAGACCATAGCTTTTTTCTTTGTCTTATTCTTCATAAGATATCTAGAATTCGCTCACTGCTTATATCTCCACTATTGTGTACCCTTTTGTTCCAGCTCATGAACAAGATTATTGCCATTCAGACTTTTTTCCTGGCTCACTTCCATTTTTCTTCAATATAGCAGCTAGCGTGTCTTTTGAAATATAAAGCAGATCACTCAAATGCCTCTAATAGCACTTTCCTTGCTCAGTATCCTTGCAATCTTTTACAGGATCTTAGTCTTTTGTTCCTGTTTCTCTTCAGATCTCTCTTACTGTTCTTATGCTTGCTCAGTCTTTTCCCAACACAGTATGTTGTTTTTGAATCTTCCAGGGATGCAGGTACATTTCTGAAATATCAGGGTCTTATACTTATCTTTTTTCTTCTGATCTTTACCCAAGTTATCACCCTTACTTTTATTTTTTGGGTGAAGATTTTTTTCTCTGTAATTGATCATAGACTGACATCTTTATTTCTTCATTAATTGCCTGTCCCCTTGACCAGAACATATGCCACATGGAGGCATAAACTTTATTTTAAAGTTATGTCTCCAGTGCTTTAAACAGCTTCTAGAATGTGCAGTTACTATGAATATTTGTGAAATCAAGGATTACCTTCCCAATTGGTTCTCCTTACTTCATTTTTTTCTTCTTGTTTTTAATCCTTTCATCTAGAAGGTAGTGTAATGTTTTTGAAACTTAAACCAAATCTTTTTTTGCACAAAATCTTCAAAGTCTGACTCATCTTGTACTACTTTTGCTTGCCCTCTGTACTTCAGTACGTTATCCAGGTCTTTATATTCTCTTTCCTTCCTATGTTCTCTCTACTTCTTATGACTACTCTGTATCATTTACTTGTTAGCATAAAATATTACATTTCAGATAAATTTTATGGGCCGTCTAATCAATTCTAATATATCAACCTGTTTTAAATTCTCTGCATAGCACTTACCACTGTGTGGTTTATTTCATACATATGTATGCATTTTCCATCTGTTCCAGTAACTTAAATGCTCAGTTAAGTAAAATGAGGTAAGTCTCAGGGTGGTTCTTAAGAGTTCTTCTTTTTCCCACCTGCTTAATCTATAAAAATGTGCTTTGTGCTGCACGGCACATAACTTTTCTCAGGATTTAGTAGTTTTACCCTCTACCAACTCTTTAGAACACTTATTAATGCTAGTATTTCATTCCCAGGTCATGTGACATTTAAAGTTTAACAGTCTTAACTGAGAAACTCAGGATATTCAAATATTTAAGTGCTTTGAATGTTTAATATACTTCTAAAACCATATTACCTCTAGGCAATATATATATTATTATATGGGTAGATGACTTTGTGTTTAGTTAAGTAGTTTTATTAATAAAGTTTTTAAATGTAAAATTGGAGGTTTTGTAGTATGCATAAGTTTTACAAGCTCAAATTATTACAGAGCAAGCACATAACTCTTTTAAATCAAATTTTTAGAGATTTGATTTTAAATGTAATTTCTTTCTTATTTTGGGAGGTGGAGGGAGATTAGTAATTGAACTCAGGACTTTGCACTTGCCATGCAGGCATGGTGCTACTGAGCTATATCCCTGGTCCTGTAATTTTTATCCATAAGGAAAGATTATTAAGTTTTAGTACTCCTTTGTATAGTCTATAAACTTTAAGTTAATAGCTTATAAAAATGTAGTTTTGAAAGCAGTTATAATTTGAAGATTAAGTTAATAGAACAATCCTGAAAACTTTTAGGACTCTTTAATGCAATCCTGCAAAAGCATGATAATAATGCTAGCAAAATCTACTGCATAAATATAGTACCATGTGCAAAGTTTCTGACTTCTGTAATTCTGATTTAATTTTGATATTCTAGAACTGTTTGAGAAGGATGTTATGTGATGTAGATTGGAGTACCAGAAATGTAAAGATACATGCTACCATAATTTGCTGCATAGCTAAAGAAACTTTTAATAGTGTTCCATCAAAAGTGTTTTTGAGACCGAGGATTTAGCTCGGTTTAACAGCACCTGCCTGGAAAGCACCAAGGTCCTGAGTTCAATTCCAGTTACTCCCCCCCCCCCCCCAAAAAAAAAAAAGTATTTTGGGCCATGCAAGTGTTGTTGGTTTTACAGTCCTCTCCCTCTTATCTGTGCTGTCACCCCATCTCATGCATGTTGCTTCCATTGTTGAAACTGTATGAAAGGTATACCTCTAAGACGAAGGAGCATCACAGGAAATATATATTCATTTTCTACTGTTATTATAAATTTATCAGCTTATCAACAGCACCCATTTTTTCATGGTCTGCTTACACCATTTATTAGTCTAAATTTATTAATCTAAAATCTGTTTGAATTTTTATGAGGGAGGCTCTGGGAAAATTCTACTTTCAAACGTTGCTCAGGTTTAGCCCCATGGGGTTGTAGGACTGAATTTCCCATTTCCTTTTGTTGTTTGGTGTCATTCTCTGGCGTTGGAGGCAGCCTGCATTCTTTGGTATAAAGCCAGGAATAATAAATTGATTCCTTTTCATGCTGCACATGTCTCTGACTTTCGTGTCTATCTCAGTGCACCCTCTCCTCTCTTCTCTTGCATCTGTGACTCCAAGCAATGGAACCTGTCTGCTTTCTAAAGGAACAAATGATTAGATTAGCCAGAGAGGCAGTGTCCTTTCACAATAGTAACTAGTTTCACGTTTGATTGAATAATCAAGCCTTCAGAATCTTGAAATAGATACCTTACAAATTCTGCCTGCCACAAAGTGACTTTTTGTTTGATTCTAGTGTTGAAGTTTATTCTGTTTTAAAAAATATATTTCCTTATTTAATTGGCACGTTTCTTAGGTTAATGAATGGTTGTTTTTCCTTTTTATTGATGTTTGTGGTTCATGTAACAATTGCCTTTTCTAAGAAAAGGGAGATAATTTTGTATTCTTTACTTAGCTGTTTGTAAGGGAGGATATGCTGAATGAGGAAAATAAATCTGTTATTACTTACTCCGTGTAGAAGATTAACATTAATTTGGCACTTTCTTTACCTGAGGTACCTGAAAAGGAAGGAGTGATAATTTTTAGTTTATAAAGTGTAGAATATTTCTTTTTTTTATCACAGCATTTTATGTAAGTAAAATAAAATATAATAAAGTAATAGATTATTCCTTTGACTGTTTTAAGATTTTTTCAAAAAATCTTGTTTTAAAGCACCATGTTCAAGATATGATTCTCATGATTTACACATGTACGTGATTTCACAGTGCAGTTTACTCTTTTTTCTACTTTCTAGCTTTACTAAATAATTTTGAATGATTTACCTAGACAGTATTCGTGATATCACGTCAGAATTATTTGAGTTAGTAAAATAAGTGAATGTACCTAATTTGCTTAATTACATTGGACAGATGACTAGTGTGGAATTCCAAGAAATAGTAATGGCACTTGTGTTATATTAGATGGAGGATTACAAGTTCAGGCCCAAAGTTTTTACTTAGCACGACCTCATCTCAGAAAAGAACCAGGGCTGCAGATGTGGCTCAGGGTGTAGACCTTGAATTTAGTGTCTTGACTAAAAAAAAAAAAAAAAATCTTGTTTAAAATGTTGCCCTGATTTCAAATATTATATAAAATGAATTGATAAACATAAGTTTAGCTTTTATGGTAAAATTAGGCATTATAATTGAATTACATTAGCCTCTGAATATAAAATAGTGAACCAAACAAAATGACACTTGCTCTTATGAAGTTTCCACTCTATTCATTAAATTAAGGAATGACATGATAATCTACATTTACTCTTTTTTATATTGGCATATGTTTTCAAAGTTAAATAGTTTTAAGTGTTATTTTATGTAAAAGTATCATGTTTTGACATTTTATTCATATAAGAGATACTAATTACAGCAACCAGAAGAACAGTAATACTAACATTTTTATGTGTAACATTTTATTCTCTCTATGCATCTTTCTCTTTCTCTACGCGCGCACACACACACACACACACTACAATGTTGCCTATCCTATTAAATAGTCTGGTTTTCCAGTAAATTAACTTTTACCTCAACATTTTGTAATTTTAGTTCCTTTTTTGGCTATTGGGAATTTACATGCAGTTTCCTATTGTCTTTATGCAGTTTTTAGCTAATACCAGCAGCTATAGTGGAAGCATGGATACCTAGTTTATGTACATACTCTGACTTATTTCTTAAATAATTTCAGTTTCTGAGTCAAGGCCATGCACATTTTTAGGGGTTGGTGAGGCCTGCAAAGTAGAAAAAGCACAGATGAATTGTGTTTGAATACGGTAAGCAGTTACCAGCTGGGCACCCTTTGGCAAGACCTGCAGCTTCTTTGAGCAATATTAGTTTTCTCACATGTAAATTAAAAATGGTATTTGTTTTTCATGGTTATATTGTGTAGAAAGCAAGTTAATAAACTACGGTGCATTCGGTATAATCTTAGGATAGAGTTGGTGATGGTTGAGTGGTATTTATTATAATTACAGTTTACTTTGCTCCTAAGGAACCTGTGGGTTGTTTTGGCCCTATTTTACGATTGAGAATGCTATAGCATAGTGCCTTTCAATGATTTGTATAAGGTTAGTCAGTCAATAAATATAAACTGACACTGGCATATTTCCATTTCCAAAGTAATCATTCTTTTTATTTTCTATTCCACCTATTGTGTTGGGCACGAGAGATAACTATCCTGTATCACAACAGTGAAATTATTTACCCTGATGTCTTCGTCACTTTCCTTATTGCTAGGACCCAGTACCTAACACCTATAACTTAAAGGAGGAGAAGTTTAGGTTGGTTCACAGTTACAGTCCCTGTTTGGTTGCCTCCAAGGCAGGAATAGCGTGTCAGAGGGACATAGTAGAGGAAAAACTGCTCATATCATGGCAGCCAGGAAGCAGAGAGAGAAGGGGGGAGCCAGGCAGGGAGATACATCTTCCAGGTCATGCCCCAAAGGACTCACTTCTGAACGGGTCCCACTGCCTAACAATGTCCCTGTCACTTTCTAGAAGCCCCACCTATTGGCTCATGAGAGTCTGGGGAGTCGTTCTTGACCCATAACATAATAACACATGATTTAGAACCCAATTCCTCTATATACATGGTGCAGAGAAGGACTAGCTAATATATAAAGTAATCAATTGCCTAAGAGAGATGTCCAGTTAGATGGAAGGGTTCAGTCTTCTCTTGTAGAGAGAAAAACAGACTACAGTGCTGGCTATGTATTTATTCATCTGTTAAATGTGATATTCACGTTACTAGTTAGCATCATAATGATGAGAAGATAATGAACGTGGAAGTGTTTAGAATAATGCTTGGCACACTGATCCAGGTGTGGTGATACGTGTCCGTAATGCCAGTACTTCTCAAGAGGTTGAGGTAGGAGGATTACCATGTATTAGAGGCTACCCTAGGCTACATAGTTTAAGGCCAGCCTGAAATGCATTATAAGACCCTATCTCAAAATTTTTTTTTAAAAAAAGTAGGTACCCTAAGCATTCAATAAATATTTTATAGTTCTTATTATGTTAATTATTTTAGAGTGAAAAACTTAGAATATATAAGATTATAATTTACTCAGATATTCTCTATGATATATATAATGCATTTTTCAAAAGACTTTTTATGATGCATGTTGCTTTTTATTTTTTAATTCCTTTACCATTTCTTGTAGGACTGAAAGAATTATCACCACTTCCACTAAATCTCAAACGTTTGTACAAAGAGACACTGGAAATTGAACCCATTTTGATAATTATTTCTCCGGGTGCTGACCCTTCTCAGGAACTCCAGGAACTTGCTAATGCTGAAAGAAGTGGGGAGTGTTATCACCAGGTGAGTCCACATTTCCCAGATGTTTCAGCTCCTTCCATTGTTCCTGCTGCAAGAGATCCTGTTAGTGAAACCGGCATTTTTGTTGTGGTAGCCCAAGTAATGACATGAAAGGTGTCTTATGTGCCAGTCCCTGATAGGTTTTTGGCAAGATAGACAAAGAAAGGAAAAAGAGGCCTTTATTTCACGCACAGGATAACTGTGGAAGAGACACAAGCACCCTCAGATGAGAACAAGGCCGTGGAAATCCTTTTCCTCCTTTAAGTCTGACTGGGGGAGATGTGTGGGAGGCAGGCAAAATGACATATCAGCAGCTGAGTTGAAGGAGCATCTGCGTGTGCAAAACAAGAGACAAAGATTTACTGGAGGCTAGGGGTGGGGTGCTGGGGTGGTTGTGGAGTCTTGGGACTGGAGAGGGCTCAGCACACACAAAAAGGGAGAAGGAGGTTTATTTCAGGAACTAGAAGAACAGAGAAGTTATTCTTAGATAAATTGCTTCTCTGGGCCTAACACCAAGTTGGTGGGTGTTATCTTAGAGATAGGTAAGGCCCAAGCTAGCACAATCTATCAGTCCCCAGAACTTGTGACTATGTTATACAGCAAAAATAACTCTGCAGATATTGTTAAGGATTTTTGCAAAGAAAAGTAGCCTGGATTAACAGTAATCACGAGCATCTTTATGAGAGAGAGAGAAGCAGACCAGGGAAAGTGAAGGTACAAGACAAGGAGACAGAAGTAGAGGTCAGAAAGGAAAGAAGGTACTGTGCTGCAGGTTTTGAGCATGGACCAAGTTGCCATAAAGGAAGGTAAATGGCTCCTTGAAGCTGGAAAGGCAAGGAAAAGGTTTTTTTCTTACAACATTCAGAGTAAAAGTAGCCATATACTACTACATTTATTTTCACATCCAAATGCCTCAATTTTAGATTACAAAAACTTCTAGAAGTCTAAAATAATAATGTGAATCAAACTACTAACTCTGTGGTAACAATAGAGCAGCAATAGGAAACTAATATATTTGCTTATGTCTTGGGAATATCTTTTAAAATTTTACTTGAATGCCTTTACAATAAATTATTATGATGTTTGCCTGCAAAATGTTAACCTAAAGTGAAATACATTAGAGTAAAATTTATTCAGTATGTTTTCATATTAGAAACTTATATTTTATTCAGGTTGCCTATTTTTTTTTCAAGTTAAATACAAATGACTTTCAAAATTAAATTTATTTTTTCTTGGTTTTTGCCAAGTGAATAAGCCTTTTTGGCTAGGAAAATAATTAATGATTCAAAAATCCAAATATTTCATAGCAGGCAAAAGGTGAGAAACAAGAATTTCACCATGTAAAATTTAAGTGGTAAATAATAGGATAGCAAAGTGTTAAGCTTACATGAACAGATTTTCACCAACAATAGGGGCATTCCATTCAATCATTGGTATAGTATATTAGTATATTTATTAGAACAATATTCAGTTATCAATGAGGTGTTTGAAAGCAAGGAGTCGTTTTCTATAGGTTGTATCTGATAGCCAGGAACTTTGGCAGGAAGATTAAACTATGTGTATACATTTTTAAATTCATCCTTATCCTTGTGTAAGTTTTGTTTTTCATAACTTGATATTAAAGCTAGCAAGAGAGTTTTAGAGTTTATCATTTTTATTACTCTCTTACAGTGTTACAGCATGTTAGCAGAACTTCTATATTTTGTTTTTGTAGGTTGCCATGGGTCAAGGTCAAGCTGATTTAGCAATCCAAATGTTGAAAGAATGTGCCAACAATGGAGACTGGCTCTGTTTGAAAAACTTACATCTTGTGGTATCTTGGCTGCCGGTTCTGGAAAAGGTAGATTCAGATAAATACAGTATAAATTATGTCTAAAGTATAAGTTCAGTGATGTTTAATAAGCATCCATATTCAAATTCAAGCATTATGTTTTTAAAATTTAGTAACTGATAATTTTAAATGTGTTTACTTCAATAAAATACATTAGTGCAAAACAAGATAGGTCTTTTAATAGTAAGTTTATAAAACGACCTCTTTTAGGGAGAGTTAGAGAAACTTAGAGAACTTTGTAAAGGAAAATAGTGAACATATTAGAAGACTGTAGAAAACTGTTTAAACTAATCTGGTGCTTAGGTAAGAAAAATATGTTCTTGGATAGAGAAAACTTAACGAACGAGGTGTACCTTAAGGTGAATGGAATTTAGCTAAGTGTGGACCAAAAAGGCTGATTATGGCTAATTCCAACAGCACAAGTAGAGATGCACATTGCCGAGGTCAAGGACTGGAGAGATGTTCGTGGCAGTACTGGAAGGGCCAAATAGGGCAGTGGGAAAAGATGCAGTTAGGTGAGTTGGAATGGCCAAGGTTAGTGAATATCCGGGGAACTGTGCAGTGTGTCGTGTTTTATCCTGCCACTTAGCTGAAAGTCCTTCCAGGGTGATTAATAATTAATAAATTGAATTAGCCTCGCCATACTTGTTTACAACATTGAGCCAAACAGAGTAGACTGAGGACAGCCCTCTCCTATTTGTGAGGAGTTAAAAATTTATGCAGTCCTGATAACCTGGCAAGTAGAGCGTTGTGCACAAAGTAGACACTTAGTAAATCTTGGAATGAGCTTTTGTCTGAGTGGATGAATTGATGGACTATGATGTTTCATTACTTATAAATGAAAGATACAGATTATGGGGCTGAGCTACATATAAATGTATAATGATTTATAGTTTTCTATAAAAATCATTAGTATGTTAATATAAAATTTATGTCTGAATCATATATTTTTTATTAATTTTGTTGGTACCTGTTTGCCATACATAATGATTACATTCATTATAGGGAGTTTGTACCTGTACATAATATATCTTAATTCTTTTTTTGTCTCATTCCTCTCCTCCCCAACTTTTCTTCCCCTCCCCATTTACAAAGGCTTGATTTCTATTTTTTCCTTTTTTTAAAAACTCCTGTTTTCTTCCTTCCCTTCCTCCACACACCTCCTTTCCTTGTTCACCTTCCCATTTGAAGATGTTCTTTTTATTGTCTCCTAATACCCAAACTCCATTTTGCTCTTTATTTACCCTTTGGGTTTTCTCATGCAAAATAAACTATGTGATATTTAAATGTGTGTACAATTTTATTTTACTTAGAATTGTATCCCAAGGTGAATCCATTTATGTAAAAATACCTCATTTGTGCTTCTTAATGGCAGATTAGTATTGCATTGTGTATAAATACCACATTTTCTTTATCTGTTCATTGTCGATGGGTATATGAGCCATTTCCAAGATTTAGCAATTATAAATTGTGCTATTATAAACATGGATGTGCACATAACACTGTGGTATGATGATTTGAACTCCTTTGGGAAGATATTAGAAGGGGAACAGTTGGAACAAACGGAACTTGTAGTTACAGTTTTCAGGACTCTTCACACTGATTTCCATAGTGGTTGTACCTATTTACAGGCTCACCAACAATGGAGAATGGTTCCTTTTTTCCTACAGATTGATTTCTTGAAGGTGGCCATTCTTTTAGAGTGAGATAGAATCTCAGTGTTGAATAGCCAATGCTGTTGAACATTTTAAAATATTTTTATTGCTATTTGTACTTCGTCTGAGAAATATATTCATTTCAAGCATGCATTTTTAGATTGGATATTTAAATTTGATTTTGTTCAGTTTTTTAAAAAAATACATATTCTAAATATATTAGTCCTTCATCTGGGGAATAGCTGGTTAAATTTTTTTCCCCACTCCATGTGTTATCTTTTTCTCTGTTGGTGATTTCTTTTGCTGTGCAAAAACTTTTTAATTTTTTGATGTGATTCCAGTTGTTGATTCTTTTTAATATTTCCTAGGTGATTGAGGTTTTGTTCATAAAGTCTTTGCCTACACATATGTCTTCCAGTGTTTTACCAATTCTGTCTTCCAGCAAGTTTTTTTTTTTTTTCTGTTTTAATATTTAGATCTTTGATCCATTTTGATTTTAGTTTAGTCCATGGTGAGAAATACAAACCCAGGTTTACTCTTCGGCATATGGAAAGCCAGTTTGCCTAGCACCAGTTTTTAAAGAGGCTTTCTTTTGGTGAAAGTGTTTGGCCCTTTGTCAAAGATAAAGTTGAGTGTGCTTGGAGTTGTTTTACCATCTTCTAATATCTTCCATTGATCCTAGAGCTATTTCTTTGCGAGCACTATTCTGTTTTTATCATGGTAGCTTTGTAGTGTAATTATTGTGATGCCACATATCTTACCTTTATTGCCCAGAATTGCTTTTGGTATTCTAGGTCTCCTCTGGTTCCATAGAATTTTAGAATTGTTTTCTGTAGTTCTGTGAGGTATACTACTGGTATTTTGATTTGGATTGCATTAAAACCGTGTAACAGTTTTGAAATTATGGTAATTTTCACTATATTTGTTTTGCCTCTGTAAGAATAGGGGGTTATATTTTGATTTTCATTAGAAAAATTGTTCTCCTTTTTGATTGTACTGTAGTTTTCATTATAAAGGTCTTTTATTCCATTCATTACACTGATTCTTAAGTATTTCATTTTTCTAGGTGCTGTTGTTTAAGATATCCATTCTCTATTTCTCTCATATTTTAAAATATAATGAAGATGAATGAATAACTGAATTGTGCTCTTTGTAATAAGTTGTTGATTGGTAGCTATTAATCTATGTAAAATATAATTTTAGTCAATACCTTGAAAGCAAATTTTAGAACTTTTTGAAGGACAAGTAGAATATACTATATTTCAAAAGTTTAAAAGAATTTTTCTTTTTTCTTTTGCTCATCTTGGGAACTTTGGATGAACTGTTTGGAAATAAATTTACAAGTTTTTTGTAACCGCAGTTATATCACAAAGATTGTTTTTAAATCTTTTAGATATGAGAGTCCAAGGCAGAATTTTATATTAATTTTACATTTTTAAGTTGAGATGTGAATACATTTTAAATGATATTAATCAAGAATGTGAGTGTCAATGAAAGCGGTCTTAAGAGGGAAATACATAGCAATAAATTGTCATATCAAGAAAACAGAATGAGCTCAAATAACCTAATACTTCATCTAAAGCTTCTAGAAAAAGAAGAGCAAGTTAAACCCAAAGCTCATAGAAGAGTAGAAATTGTAAAGATTAGAGCAGAAATCAATGCAATTGAAACTAAAAAAAAAAAAAAAAAAAGATACAAAGAATTAAAGAATCAAAAAGCTATTTTTTTTTTTTTTTTTTGTCTTTTTCCTTTTTACCGGTACCGGGGATCGAACTCACGACTGCCTGCTTTCAAGGCAGGTGCTTATGCCGCTGAGCTAAACCCCCAGCCCCAAAAAGCTATTTTTTTGAGAGAATAAGCAAAATTGACAAACCTCTAGCTACCCTTATAAAAAAATAGAAAATACCCAAATTCATGCAATAAGGACTAAAAAGAGGGAAATTACTACAGATCCCATGGAAATTCAAAAGATCACGGATACCTACTGTGAAAATCTCTACTGACGTGGAGTGGAGAATGCAGAGGAAATGGTAGATTTCTAGAAATATATGAACTACCAAAGCTCAACCAAGAAGATATAGCAATTTTGAATAACCCAGTATCAGCTATTGAAATTGAAAACTTAATTAAAACTTACCAACAAAGAAAAGCCCAGGTCCTGATGAATTCACAGCTGGATTCTACAAAAAATTTAGAGATTTGATGCCAATACTCCTTAAACTCTTCAATGAAATTGAAAAGGAAGCAATCCTCCCTAAATGATTCCTGGAGGCAAGTAGTACTCTCATACCAAAACCAGACAAAGACCAAACCAAGAAGGAGAACTATAGGCCAATCTCACTAATGAACATTGATACAAACATTCTCAATAAAATACTGGCAAACAGAATGCAGCAAATCATCAAGAAGATTATACATCACAACCAAGTGGGATTCATTCCAGGATTGCATGGATGGTTTAACATAGGCTAATCAATAAATGTAATACACCACATCAATGGAGCCAAAAACAAAAACCATATGGTCATCTCAATAGATGCAGAAAAAGCTTTTGATAAAGCCCAACACATGTTCATGATAAAAACTCTTCAGAAACTTGTTATACATGGTAGCTACCTCAATCTTACAAGACTATCTGTGAAAACCAACAGCCAGCATTATACTAAATGGACCAGAACTGAAAGCATTCACTCTAATCAGGAACAGGACAAGGATGTCCACTATTCACCACTCCCATTCAATATAATTCTGGAAATACTACCCAGGGCAATCAGACAAGAGACTGAGAAATAAAAGGAATAAAGATAGGAAAGGAAGAAGTTGAATTGTCACTATTTGCAGATGATATGACACTCTATATAGAAGATCCCCAAAACTCCTTTGAAAGACTGCTAGATACAATAAATAAATTCAGCAGTATAGTTGGATACAAAATCAGCGCTCAAAAATCAATAACATTCCTGTACACAAACACAAATCTCACTGAGAAATTATGGACATATCACCTTTCACAATAGCATCTAAAAAAATGAAATACGTAGGAATCAACCAATGTAAAACACCTATATGCTGAAAATCATGCTACACTAAAAACAAGATTGAAGAGATTATTAGAAAATGGAAGGATACTTATTACTCTTGGCTAGGAAGAACCAACATTGTGAAATGGCCATATTCCCAAAAGTGTTACACAGATTTAATGCAATCCCCATCAAAATTGCATTGACATCCCTCACAGATCTAGAGAAAACACTCCTAAAATTCATTTGGAAACAGAAGAAACATAAAATAGCAAAGGCAGTTCTGGGCAATGAAGGCAAGACATTGAGGCATCTCAATTCCTGACTTGAAACTATACTGCAGAGCTACAGTGACAAAATCAGCATGGTACTGGCAAAGAAATGGACCTGAGGATCAGCGGAACAGATTAGAAAGCACAAACACAACTACAAAGACACTCAGTCACCTGATATTTGACAGAGGTGCTAAACATGTTTACTGGAAGAACGATAGCCTCTTTAATAAATGGTGTTGGAAAAACTGGCTCTCCACATGCCAAAGACTGAAACTACACCCATTTATCATGTATAAAACTAAAATCTAAATGGATCAAAGATCTAAATATTAAAACAGACACACTAAATCTACTGGATGACAAAGTAGGTAGAAATCTTGGAGACATAGGCGCAGGCAGAGAATTCATGAACAAATTGCAAACTACAGGAAACACTTCAAAGAATCAACAACTGATATCTCATATTATTGAAAAGTTTCTACGCTTCAAAAGAAATTACCAACAAAGTGAAAATAAAACTCACAGAATGGGAAGAATTTTAGCCAGTCACACAAAGGACTTATATCCAGTGCATATAAAGAATTGAAAAATATCAAGTCCCCAAATTTAAAGACCCTCTCCATAATGGGCATCTGAGATGAACACATAGTTCTGAGATGAAGATATACAAATGGCAAATAAATACATGAAGAAATGTTCACTATCACCAATGGTCATTTGAGAAATGCAAATCAATACAACATTGAGATTTCATCTCACTCCAGAAAGAATAACTGCCATCAAGAAATCAACTAATAACAAATGTTGGTGAGACTGCGGGGGAAAAAGAAACACTTCTCCACTGTTGGTGGGAGTGTATACTGATGCAACCACTATGCAAATCAGTATGGAGATTTCTCAGAAGACTAGGATTGGAAGTTCCATTTTCTGTTTTGCTTTTGTTCTCTTTAAATAAAATTTTAAAAAAAGAATGTGAGCATCAAACAAATGAGCAGTAAGAATTAATACTGCTTTTTTTAAGATACTGGCTTTTTTCCATTTATTCTTTCAATCTACAAACACTTGCTGATTACAGAATGTAGGAAGTGTACTACATGTTGCCTACATATAGAATTTGTACCTGTTTTCTTGCAATGTAGTTTAGAAAAGATAGATTCCATTTTACATAACTGTATTACAGAAATGGATTTACAGAATAGCATGAGTGATTGATCTTGCTTGGGATTGTCGTAGTGCTAAACTAGAGAAGATGTTTCCTTGAAACATGAGTAAGAATTTGTTAGGCTACATAGAGAAAAAAAATCTGAGTAAATGACCAATGTATATAACATTAGGGGTATGGGCAGATAAATTAATTTAGTATTTGAATTTATAATTTGGGGAGGGCATAGCTCAGTTGTACAGCTCTTGCCTAGCATGTGTGAGGCTCTAGGTTTGATCCTTAGCACTGAACCAAACAAAAGCCTTATGGACCAAACGTTGTATCAAATATTGCCAGTAAGGAAGTTCATATTGTTGTATAACTCTGCCAAAGTGTGAATTAAGATAGAGTCCATAGGTCTGGCAGTCACTGCTAGTTTAGGTGTTGCAGTTGTAGCCGACACTTCCTCCTAGGCCTGTGTGGCAGGGACTGTTATTATTGTGGCCTTGAGAAGTAAGTCATAAAGCCCGAGGTCACACAGCAAATAGGGGGCAAAGTTTGGACTCTAATGAGTACAGTTGGCTGTAGTTCCAGGTTCTTATTCATTACACTAAGCTAATAATAATGAACATAAAATGTAAAAGAAATTTCGTCAGTATTTTATCAGAATACATAGAAATTATATCAGTGCCACAGAAAATTTTGATAAGAAAAACTGATTAATAATAGATGGCTTAAAAGGAGTGTATATTATATATTAAATAGCTTCTTATCCTTATTTTTGTAAACAAGGAATTGAATACTCTTCAGCCTAAAGCTACTTTTCGTCTTTGGCTCACTGCAGAAGTTCATCCGAACTTTACCCCTATCTTACTACAGTCAAGTTTGAAGATAACATATGAGGTAAGAAGACTTAAAACTTGGTCATTAGTTGTGTAAGAGCAATAATCTCTACATGCTTCCTAAAATTTTGTAAATAATTATCTATGTAAAATCCATTAAAAACTTTTTTCTAAGTGAAGTACAATATGTAGAATAGCAAAAGATACAGAAAAAGCTTAAGTGTTCTTTTCCAATTTTATCATTTTGTACAAAGAACACAGACTTGATCATTTTAACCATTTATAAGTATACAGTATTATAGTGTTAATGTGTACCTTCTCATGTAATGCATCTCTGGAACATTTTATCCTGTAAAACTGAGATACTGTTAATGCCCAGTCCCCGTTTCCTCATTCTTCAGCCCCTGGCATTCACTCTACTTTTAGTTATTATGAGTTTGTTTCAGATATCTCACTTAGTAGAATCATACAGTATTTGCCTTTTAGTGACTGTCTTATTTCATTTAGTGTAATGTCCATCCATGTTTTAATTTTAAGCCTGAGTAATATCCCATTATATGTAAGACAGGTCCTTTATCCATTCATCTATCAGTGAATTTTTAGGTCTTCTACTTCTTAGCCATTATGAGAAATGCAGTGAAAATAGGTAACCACATGTCTCTTCAAGATTCTATTTTCTGTTATTCTGTACATATGCCCAGAACTGGAATATCTGGATCAGATGACAATTCCGTTTTTAACATTTCAGGAAACTCTGTATGGTTTTTCATTGTGCCCGTACCATTTTATGTTTCCAAGGGTGGTGCACAGCTTCTTCATACCCTTGCCATCACTTTTTGTGCTGTTTTACAAAACAGCCATCATCCCATTAGATGATAGATGTTATCTTATTGTGGTTTCAATTTGCATTTCCCTAATGTTAATGATGTTTAGTATCTTTGCACATATTCGTCAGACATTTGTGTATCATCTTTGAAGAAATATCTATTCATGTCACTTCCCACTACTAATTGACTTGTTGTTATTAAAATTCTTTTCTGTAATCTCATTAGATAGAGATTTCGCCAATTATTTTCTCCCATTTGGTTGCTTGCTTTTTAGCACTCTGCTTCCATCTTACTGTACAGAAGGTTTTAAGTTTACTGTAGTTCTGCTTAACTATTTGTGCTTTTGTTACCCATGCATTTTGTGTCTTAGATATGGAATCATTGTCAAGTCAGGGTCATAGAATTTTTTCCCAGTGTTTTCTTCTAGGAATCTACAATTTCAGATTTTATATTTTGGTCCTTAATCCATTTCTATTTAGTTTTTAAATGTCTTATAAATCTAGGCATCTTAACTTCATTGTTTTACATATAATTATCTGTTTTTCCTATCATTTGTTTTTGTCTTTAATAATTTAGATTGTCATTGTTTGATTTTATCCATCTGCATGTCCCCATCTACTCTTTTTTTTGGGGGGGGTACTGGGGATTGAATTCATGACCTCACACAGGCCGGGCAGTCGCTTGTGCCGCTGAGCTAAATCCCTTGCCCCATCTACTCATTTTTATATTGCTCAAACATGTAATTTTAAGCAGATTCACTGAAACTTTATACATCTAAAACTATATATTGTTGAAATATTTTATACTTTATCAGTTATAAATAATAAACAGGATTAAATATTAAATACTTGTGAAAGATGTCCTACTTGCATTCTCTCTCAATTTGTAGAAACACTTCTTATAATGTTTTCTGCATAAAATATCTTCTTAGTATTTGTAGCTGTTGTGTTGGATCAGTATTTCACTTTTTCTGAAAGTGCTTGTCTCAGTTAGGGAAGAAAATGGGCAGGGATTAGTTCAGGGATACAAAGATGACCTGACAGTGTACATATATGAAATAAAAGCCTTTATAAAGCCTAGTAAGAATCTGTCTAGACTCTTCTCTAGCCACTCTTCCAATAAGCTCCCCCATTATGTTCTCATCCAGCACTGAGTGATCTCCAGCACTGAACTATGTGAGCCATGAAGGCAAGGTCTATTTTTTCATTGGCTTTTTTGTAGTGTTTACCATAAAGATGACTATAGGACGAGCTTGGTAAATTTTTCGGAGAAACTGTCCTTGAATGTTTTATCTTTAAAGTGCAACTTTTTACAGTATCTTTTTAAGGAGGTAATTTGATGACATTTTAATGGAAAGTTCTGTTTTGTTATTTTTCAAATATGTAGTCTTCATTTGCATATGATTTTTCTTTAACAGTATGATTTATTTTTATCACCTATAGTTGAGCATGAATTAAAAACTAAGTGGTTTTTAATCAGGCTTTATTAAATAGTGTGAAGAAATTTGATGTAGTCCATAATTTTTAGCACATACTTAATAAACGAAAGTTTAGAAACCATTTTAGAAGGATTTTACTGTTAAATAAAGGTCATTTAATTCAGCAGATAAACCTGTATCATGTTCTTAAATTTTTTTAACATTAGAATTCTCTTGGGGGAGGATTTTACTTTTAAGAATTTGAATGCTTTTTATCATTTTGATATATGTACACAGAAATAATACAGGAACATGATCTATAATACATAAAAGTATAATAGAGTATATTTTATATAGACCTTGTACATGTAGATGAGCATTTATTTACCCAACATTAATTCAATACATACAGCATTTTAGTTCCTGGGTTTGTATTTGTGATTAGTTGCATAGTAGCAATGTCAGGTAACACCTATTTCAACTTGGACTAATGTGCAAGAAATAGTTTACGTCATATGTAAATGACATAGTGTCCCAGTGGAAATTGAAATACCAACCAGTGAAGGATAACTGGTTTATTAAATTCAAAATATCTGTCGTATTGCAATCAGTATCATATCAATATTGTCATGATTTTGTTTCAGTTAAAAAACTCAGTATCATATAAAATTGTATCATTTTGAATATTCACTATGCAAATTTTATGAAGGAGTATTCCTCATTTGTAATTGAGATGAACTATTAGCTTTAAGGTACTTAACTAGTTTTATATTTGTACATTGTAAAATAACAAAATGATTCAGACTTGGAAACTGATGAAATGCTCTGAAAATACGTCCTTAAATATATGAAATACAGTGAAGATTCAAGCAATGCAATGTCTGTTACTTTCATTTCTTTAGTCACCTCCAGGTTTGAAGAAGAATTTAATGCGAACTTACGAGTCTTGGACTGCTGAGCAAATTAACAAAAAAGATAATATACAGCGGGCTCATGCTCTCTTTAGTTTTGCATGGTTTCATGCTGCATGTCAAGAAAGAAGAAATTATATTCCACAGGTAATTAAGAACATGTCTTAAATATAGTTCAAAGTTTACTTTCTATTAGAATCTTTTTACAATTTAGTCTCAAATTGACTCATAACTCATAAATTTAATCTCCATTTCAATATATTCTGCTTATCTTCTCACTAATAGGTAGTTACTGGCTTCGTATCTCATTGAACTAGAATATTAATAATTGGATATCACATTTATGGTTTGTATCTCACAGATACCTCAGACTTCAAGAACTGGTCCCCTGTTGTTGTTCCTTTAGTGCATCTGTCAGTTACCCATCTGCTTCCTCACAGTGGAATTCTGGGAGATTTTTTTTCCCATCCTAATTTCTCTACTTAGTCTATTGTCGAGTAATATAGATTCTACTTCCAAAATGTAATTCAAGCCTGTATACTGCGCTTCAGCCCTTTTTCTAAGCTTGATCATCTCTCCTGTACTACTCTATGAATTCCTATAACTGCTTTTCCTTTTTTTAAAAAACATTTAGCAACCAGAATTCTCTTTACTGTGTAAGCTTGATTATCTTATTACTTTGCATTAAAATTATCAAATAGGCTGTGTTGTACGTGGGTAAAAATTATGCAGATTTCTTCCCATGCACAGAAGAAAAGATCTGCTGTGTCTCGGCTTCTTCTCAGGCTCCTCTTCTTACTTGCTTACTTGTCGGGTGGCTCTCCAGTCACCCAGAGCCACCTCACGGTTTTCTATCCACCAGGTTCTTTCTTATGATAGGTTCTAGCTGGTGACTGTTACCCAGCCACTGAGTTGAACTTTTTCATTGTCATGACAGTTATGCCTGACTCCGTGCTCCCTTCTTGCCAGAGGTCTTACTCACCCACAAATTGCATCACCCTCCCAGTGTTCAGTATTCCTCCATCTTCTCTTTTCTCTTCTTCCTTCCTTCTTTTCTTCCTTCCTCATTCCTCCCACCACTTCTGCTGGGAAGTTGCCCTCCTCATCTTTCTTACCTTTTGGGTTCTCCCTGTATTTCAGTTACATTTCAAAATACAAGCATAAATTCTTGTAGACTTGGGTTTGAGTTAGACTTGGGTTTGAGTCTTGACCAAATTTTGTATAAACTATTTTAACCCCTAGTAAACACTAGTTTTATTAACTATAGAACGGGATTCATGATTATGTTTACCATTATTGTGGGGACTAAATGAGATAGCATGTACTTGGAGGTACATGTTTGACTGGCCTGTAGTCTGTCAAATGCTTTATCAAACAGTTGAAATAAATAATAATAATGCATTGTTCCATACAAAATGTCAAAATAAGAGCATCTTCATACTACATCTCAGGGGAGTATTCATTTATTACCTTCATTTACACAGACGGAAAGTGCATTTCGATGATAATTAACTTGCTCAAGGTATCATACCTAAAATGCTGCTGAGTTCTGAAATGTCCAGACCCACCTTCCCCTAAAGCATATGCCCTTAATTCTGTTACATTCGTGTTCGGCTTAGTGTAGCAATTAATATTGACTGGCACATGAGGAATAGCACTAGTGATGTACTTTCATTGATAAAAGCTATACTGTATATCATTGTGAAACACACACATAGTATAAATTCAAATGCTGTAAAACGTTTTGCAATGGAAAGTCAGTCCCTTCCTCTTTATCTCCTTGCCAGCTAGTTTCTAATCCAGTGGTGTTCACCGTTAACTGTTTCTAGGCTGTGCTTCAGACATGTTGTATAAAAATATGCTTTATGAATGTATATATCTACTTAATGTTCTTTGTAACATAATGGTGAGATATTAAGAGTTCTATGCATTGCTTTTTAAAAAATATATTTGAAATATCCATATATGTTTAATGCCTAATTTAAAAATATTTATATTATTGTTTTGACTTTTAACACATATAAATTGAATGGTTATACATATTTTTAGTCTTTGTTATTATGAAAAATGTTTCAATGTATATCCCTTTATTTGCCTTATTTGACACTTTAGTAGCTATTTTCAAAGTGTGTAGTTGGAGTAAAACATATTTTAAAAATACTCATAAATATTACCAAAATGCTTCTCATAGACATAGCAGTTTGATCTCTCCCATAAAAATCATAAAATTGGAGGTGAAACTAGACAAAATATAGAATAATATTTTGATTTGGAGGACCATATCATAGGAAAATATGGTAAATAGTAAAAATGATAAGAGTCTTTTACTTTGGGGATTTTATAAATATTAATCTTTTATAGTTTTTGACAGAAATTCACTTTTCACAAATAAGATCTAATAGAACAATGTATAAAATGTTAAAACTTTGAGTTGATGGAAAATTTAAAATATTGTAGGAATTTTACTGTTGATTGTTACATATTCCTACAGATCATTAATTCCTAAATAATTATACTTAGATGTAAGTCTCTTTTTGTTTTCACAATATCTTTTTAGAATTATAATGCAAATGCTTCTGACCCTGTATTTATATGGATCAATTCTCTAAGCACGGGATTTATATATCTAATTACTCATTCTGCCTGTCAAGTTTAATGTCTCAAAAAATGTTTGAAAATCTCATATTCTCATATTCTAGATCAAGTAAACCACTCTATGAGTGGTTTATGAATTCAGTATCAAGTATTGGAATATAAGCTTCCCAGCAGCACAGATCTTGGTTTCTTTTATTCATTGCTAGGTTGTCATTGACCAAAATAGTGCCTGGTGTATAGCACACATTCCATGAGTTGTTTAATAAGTTTTGTTTGGAAGTTGTGCTAAACTTTTGATCTCCTGATTCCTTCCTGTGCTGGTTCATTGTTCCACTTATCAGTGAGTGACCACTATCCATTTGAATGCGACATAAGGTTAGAAGTCATTTAGAGCAACTGTCCTTTTGGTGTCTTCACTTTCCATTACAATTACAACTCCATTCAGAACTCTTAATAATTTTCTTAACAACTGCTCAAATCCATCTATTTTGTGTTTCCATCTGATTTACCCTTTTTCTTATCAGTGTGACTTACCTCCCCTCTTAGATTGGTTCAGATCTCTTGTTTATAAATACCAAGCATGGTTCTATTAGTCTAATTTATTATAATTTATAGTCATGCATATATTTGAGAGATTATCTCACCTCACTCCTCCCTAATTTGATTGAAAGCCACATAAAGGTAGAGATTATTTATGTTTGAGTTTATTTTTATACTTCTTGGGATTCATCTATAAAACACAAATTTTTTGAATGATGAATAAGTAAAATTTGTATCAGTATTCATAAATATTATCCAAGTCTAACACTCTGTAGGTTGAACTTACCTAATTATAGTTAATGGAAGCGCCACAGAAATTGTTTTCATGCTTCTTACTATTTTATACACAATGTCATCCTCTGTGGAAGTTTTTTTTTTTTTTAAATACAGACATTATAACCATTAGCTCTATGAGTGGTTTATGAATTCAGTATGAATAATTGTATGGAGAGCAAAATTATATCCTTTTGGGACCCTGGCAGTATTTCCATTTTCATGCTTTTGGAGAAGGTATATAGTTTGTGAAGCATAAAGTTATAGAAGCTATCTCATTGTGTACACAATCTGTAGAATAAAAGAGGTACACCAATTTGTTCTCACTCTTTTATCTATACTGAAGTGATAAAAAGCAAATATGGTATTATAAAGTTTTTTCAATTTGGGGGGAGTCAGTAGATTTGCTTTTGAAAAAGCATTTGTTGTTCTTTTAGATATATATTGGTTTTATTAAAAATTCCAGTAAGGAATTATATTTTAGTCACTATAGTTGAATTTTATTTAGTATCTATTCAGCATTTTCTTTATAAGGGCAGTAATATATACATATGTATCTTTGAATATTGCTTAGTTTTTTACTACATTTTGTATTCTAATAGGGCTGGACCAAGTTTTATGAGTTTTCTTTGTCAGATCTTCGGGCTGGGTACCACATTATCGATAGACTGTTTGATGGTAAGTTCTAACAATGAAAATTTTTATCTCTAGGGTTAATGATGTTTGATTTGTAGTATTATTAACAGTATGGTTTTTCAGTAATATTTTAATATCTTGGGTCAAAATATGATTTTTTTTTATGTCTTAACTATCTTGCTTGGCATATCTGAGGGTTTTTATATTATAGACTTTAGTTTTGATGTAACCCATTAGATTTCTGATAAACTTGTAGCTTTCAGGAAGCAGAAAACTGGAAAGACCATATTCATTTTGTGGTCTCCAAAAATTTGAGGCTTCAACTTAATTATTCAAATATCTTTCAAGGGAACTGTTAACATTCAGAAGTATAGCAGTCAAAGGCCAGTAACAAGGATTTGTAGAGCCTTAGTTGAATTATTAAGTAGGAATGAAGGTACCAGTACTATACCGAAATAGTGCAGCAAGTAAGATTTATAATTTGATTCCTTTAGATCATCTAGCTCTTCGCCTTTTATGGGCCAGTGTATCCCACCATTTAAAGTTGCTCATTATAAAGAACACCCTAAGTTCCCTCTCAACTTCCAGCCCTGCTACCTTGCCAACCCAGTGTTCCCTGATCTGCCCCATTGTAGTAGATAACATCACCATTCATCTAGTTTTTGAAGCTCCAAGCCAACAAGTCATCCTGGATTCTTCTCACCCTCAGACAGCCAGTGCTTTGGCATTCCTGTCCATGCTATTTCTTAAATCATATTTTAATTCTGTCTAGTTTAACATCATTAAAATCTTAGATTAGTGGTAATTCTACCTTAGCACACTTTGAAACATTTTCCGTACTGTAAACTAGTTTATGTTCTGGAAAAGAAAACCAAGTCATGTAATTCTCTTTACATACAACCATTCTTGTTGTCTTTTTGATATTTAATAAGGTAACTTTTTCCTAATCATAGATTTTATTAGGTATTCCATGGTTTTTAATGCTTATTTTGACATTTGAGAAGGAGCATGCAGTAGTGCAGTGGTGGTGTACCTGTGGTACATTTGGCATAAGGATGAGCATTGCCAGCTAGGTTGTGGCCAAGTTCCATTTTAGTCTTTGTTTGTGAAGTTAGAGTTTTGGGTTTTCTTTTTTTTGAAACGGGGAATCGAACTCATGACCTCATGCTTGCCAGGCAGGCAAGCTAAACTGAGCTAAACTCCCAGCCCCGAAGTTAAAGTTTTTAATGAAGTATAAAATACGTTGAAAAAGTACTTGCAAGGTCAGAACCTAAGAAAATTTCCACAAACTGAAGACATCTCTGTAGCTGGCAATTTAAGGAAGAAACAGAACATTACTATTAATCCAGATTGCAATGTGTGCAGTGCTGCTTTCCAGTTACTACTGTCCCCTCACTAACTTCCCTCACTCCAGCTCTTGAGGTAAATATCAGATGCCTTATTGTATGAGTTTTGCCTGTTTGTAAAACTGAAGTCATACAGCTTATATGCTTTAGTGATTAGGTTCTTTTAGTAAGATTGTATGTGATTCATGCATATGGTTGCAAATAAATCATGGATAATTTTCATTGCTATTTGGCATGCTGTTGTGTGATTATAGATCTTTGTGTTGATAAACCTGTAGATAGATTTTAGTTTGGGGTGATTATGAGTAATAATAATTAATACTGCTATAGCTTTAGGTAAATATGAGTGTTTCTGTGGACTACATATATAAGGATAGAATTGCTGCTTCATAATTTGTCCAGTTATTAGTTAATGCCAACTAGTAATCAAGTGGAATTTTTTAATTAAAAATTTTCTTGAACCATGTATCAGAAAAGTGCACATAAATGAACACCTCAGTAGATTTGCATAAATTGTACCTATATAATGGGGCTAAAATAAAAACAAAAAATTGCTGTCATTCCAAAAAGCATAATTACCTAGTTTAAATATAACTAGGCTTCCTATAAATACTATTAATGTTTCCTGTATTTACTAAAGATCTGGGATTTCTTTCTTGTATTTTAACGTTATCATCAAATTATGATTATGAGGATGTCTCTGTTGCAAAGTGACATAATATGTTATAGAAAAATGCCCCATTGCAGGTAAGATTGGGTGTGTGTATCAGGGGGCCGGAGGGGCCCCCTTTTTTTTTATTTTGAGATCTGGTTTTTCCAAGTTACTAAGTTGTCCAAGCTAGATTTGACTTTGTGATCTACGGGTTGGAATTACCCTCTGTCTGTCCCATTTTATTTTATTTTTTTTCAGTACATTTCTCTTGTAGAAGAGAAAATGGATAGTTGGCTGTGTGATTTATGACATGTTGAAGACTATATTATATAAATTATGTATTGTATGCTGGGCAAAAAGGATGACTCTGGGTTTGTTGTTCCTCTTTTCTAATCTAGATCTGTGGGACTGCATGAGTTTTTTTGCCTGTTTTCATCAGTAAAACTTCTTAAGCATTGAGTTTGCCATCTATATAACTGGCTAATATTAGTATTTCTATTTGTTGTGAAGAGTTTATAAATACAAAATATTTGTAATTTCAATGAATATCACCTACTGTTAATATTAACGATCATATAAATGATTTAATAGTTGTTAAATATATGTTACCATTTCATAAATGTAGTCAGAGTTCATAATTTAGTTAATATAAGGATTTTAGAAATGAAATTAATGTTTTTTTAAACTACAGGTTCCAAAGATATACAATGGGAATTCGTACATGGCTTACTTGAAAATGCTATTTATGGAGGACGTATAGATAACTACTTTGACCTTAGAGTTCTTCAGTCCTATTTGAAGCAGTTTTTTAACTCTTCAGTAATTGATGTACTAAACCAAAGGCACAAGAAAAACATTTTTCCATATTCTGTGTCGCTACCAAAATCTTGCAGCATTTTGGTAGGTAAAATTAATCTCAATTTTTTTCCCTGTACCAGATAATTGAATCATTTATTAAATATGTTATTTCTTTTCAAAGGTACAAGTAGTTATTGACAGTATAGATTACTTATTTTGTCAGCTCATGGCCTGATTTTTTAACTCTAGTAAAGCTTCCTATATGCATTCGGATCTTTTTTCCCCCTGAAGATTGGTTGATCATAGTGATAACAGACCAGTGTTTATGCCAATCTAGGAGTAGCCAAAGAAAACTCAAAAATATCAAGAACTGCTGTTAAGAGCTGTAATGGAGGATTTGCTATTTTGTACTAGGCTTGAATATACTCTGATACACTGAAGAATATTAAAGAAGTGAAATATGAAAGAAGTAAAGTATTTAGCAAATGTTTGTTTTTAGCTTCTGGTTTTTAAATTTAAAGTAAATCTAAAGATATAGAAGGCATTCACTTTATCTGTCTTTCACAATCACATTTTTGTTTATGCATATTTATTTTAGCATACTTGTAACTTTTGCTTCAAGTTATCACATAAAAGCCTCCCAAAATACAGTTGTCATTTTCAGAAGGTAGTAATAAATATAGCCAAAATATTTCAGTTCTAGTTTATTTTGCTACAAGTCAGTATTTTTAAATTGACTATTGTTATAATGTATTTTTTCACTATTTGTGGGAAGATTATATGTATTAATTATGCTGTTCTCTCAGTATTGTTAGTTTTTCCTCACATACGTTTTTCAAGAAACTTTTCAATAACATAATTGTCAAACAGTGTCAGTGAATAAATGGTAGGCTCCAACCAATCTAAATGAGGAGGCTTCATAACTATTTGGAAGTGAACCAAATGTGTAATTCTAGAGTAATGGTTCTACATTTATATGATGATTTATGAGACTCAATATTTCTAAATTGGATAGGAGAAGATCAAGAATCCTAGGAGGATAAATGCACATAAAATTGTGCACACACTCTTAACACAAACATACATTTGTATATGTTGTGATTGAACGCTATGAAGAAGCTTTCATATGCTAAGCTAGAGGAGAGGAAGAATTTCAAAATACAGCATGACTTTTAAAAATGTAACACATTTATAGTTCTTGGGCTTTCTGTAGTTCAACTCCTTCCCTGAAAATTCTTCAGTGCTGGTTACCAGGCATGAGAAAAGATAGCTCTGCATCTCCCCCCTGCTACTCAGCACCCATCACTTATGTGTATTTATATAATACTTAAAATGAACTTGCCTCTTACGAAAACAAAACAGTTCCCATCTTTGGGCCCAAATAAACTAATCCATGGTCTGCATTTCATTTCTCATCTGAAGTCATGAGTATATAAGTGTTCAAATGACACTTGACATGTTGTGGGCATAGCCATGCAAGTATATTTGGTTTTAGCAATTTGAGGTCCATTTGTATATGGGCAGTTGGGATAAGAAAACAATATAATGTCAAATAACTGATGCAAAAAGAAGTATTAATGAAAGAATATTTTCTCTAGATAACTGTATTAAAATATAGGCAGAGGCCTGGTCATGGTAGCATGTATCTGTAGTCCCAACACTGCAGAGGCAGAGGCAGAGGAATTGCCATGAGTTTGTGGCCAGCCTGGGCTATGTCCTAAGTTCAAGGCCAATTAGAACTACATAGTAAGACCCTGTCTCCAAAAAAAGTGTGTGTTTGTGTTTATGTATATTTTTCTAATTTCAGTTATTGTAAATTCAGTCTCTAATTGAAAAAGTTTTTTACTTGTTTATGTTTAGGACTATCGTGCTGTCATTGAAAAACTGCCAGAGGATGACAAACCTGGTTTCTTTGGTCTACCTGCCAATATCGCCCGTTCATCTCAGCGCATGATCAGTTCTCAGGTAATCTAAGAAAGCATCTACCTTGTAGAAAAACATTACTGTTGAGTCTGAGGGGAACAATCTTAAATTTTATTACCATAGATCCAATTGTTGTCTTTTGCTTAAAATGTGTATTTCATTTATCATGGCACATTTCAGTTTTACCTCAAGTTAAACTTGTAAGAATCAAATAAAATTAATCAAATTGCATTGAATTCATCAATTTCATTGAAATTTTGTTGTATTTCTGGTATATGTTTTCTTGCTCAAGGCCCCTTTTACCCAAATAGCCTCATTAGGAAACACTCTTTTTATTCCCTGAACTTTTTATTTTTTTGGTACCGGGGACTGAACTCACAATCTCACGTTTGGAAAAGCAGGCACTTATGCTGCTGAGCTAAATCCCTGGCCCTATTCTGGTATTTATTTTATAATTAAGTGTAACAGTTGAATATGTCATATTTTCATAGCAGGTACCACATACAAATACGTAATTTGCATGTTTCCAGATACATAATTGGCTTATAAAATATAATATTTCATGTTTATTTTCTCGTGACCGAATATTACACAAATTTGGGAAAGCATGAATTTTTGAATCACTGCCACATGGAAAAATATTAGCCATAAATAATATATTTTCTTGGCTCTATTTTATTGATACCAGATAATAAAAAAAAACTAACATTTACTGACCTCTCACTACATGCCTGAAATAATTCTCAGTGTTTTAAACCTAAAAATTTCTTTAATCTTCACCTTCTTGAGGTATTAACTAGACAGAGACACAGTAATATAAACTATAAAATCATAAAGTCAGAAGCAGAATTAGAATTTAAATTTAGGCTCTCTGAGTAAAGAAATGGTCCTCTTTACCATGTAATATAGTTACCTTCAGGCATGAATATTTTGCTAAGTAATGTGCACCATTCCAGGGACATGGAATTGTGAACTGTTCCACAAGGTTCACTGTGTAGTCATTGTCAACATAATTCAACATAATTCTTATAGCCCTAACTCTATACTGTTTATAGTCATTATAATTAGATGTTATTTTCGTATTTCAATCTACAGTTTCATTTTTTATTGCTATTTTAGCCAATCTTTATAAGTCTGATGGCATTTTCCCTGTTTTATTATTGTATTGTTTGTTTTTGCAATTTCAGTGTTCACTCTTAATACCATTGTAAATTTTGCATATATGTTTATAAAAATAAGTGTAAATATTCCCAGGAACAAATAACCACTCCACTTCCAGCTGATGATACTATTTCCTTTTCCCTTTCTTACAAAAAGTTAAATTGCTACTCTGTGAGAATGTAATATGTTGTGTTGAATAAAAATTTTCACCATATATAATTATACACTAGTTCCTGCCATCGTTTTTTGTTAACCTGAAGTAATTATTTTTTTAATACCCACAGCAATAACATGTATGTATTTTCATATCTCTGTACATGTATGTCCATATTCGCCCTTCAAAAATATTTTCCTGATACCAGGTAAACCTGAGTGCACAGCTAATCCAGGCTAGTTTCACTAGTTTATCTTAGAGTTTAAACTGAAGTTTTTAATATTTTTTACAAATGGGTGTAATATATTTTATACATGCATAAAACTTCACAACAGTGCTTAAGTAAAAACTTGAAATAATTAAAAGATCAGTGAAATAAAAAGCATTTCACAGAATCTACAAAACTGTTTAAGAACCTTATCAATAGATTTAAGAGCTTTCTTTCTAACGCTCTTTTATTAACAGAGCATAGTTTCTGTAATTTCTAGTCTACTGCAGCTTCTGGGAGAATCTGACTTAGCAATATTTGGATTAAACATCTGGTTCTTTGGGTTTTTTTGCAAAAGAAGAAAAGGAGGGTTAGGAGAGTGCTAGGTGTCTCTTGAACCAACTTGATCTTAGGTTTGCCTCTAAAATATTTCTACTATTGACTTTTTGAGTAAGGACATTTTTTCCTTTGTTTACCACATTTCCTGCACTACTTTTGCCACCACTTTTTGCTTATTAGGTCCTTGTTCCCAGAATCACCATCTCCATGAAGTTTTGTATTGATCCTTTGAAATTTTCCACTTTTATGTATAGTATGTTCTTCTAACATTAGCAAGTAGAGATGGGTAAAAAGTAGACCCTGTGAGTATCACTACATTTAAATATTAAAGAAGCTTGTGTTCTAGTTAAGTATGTGTCTTGTGAATTTACATATGAACAAATGTACCCATGTTTCAGTTAAAATTACTGGAAAAAATTTTGACATGAATTAGTGTGTCTGGAAATGAACAGAAATTGTGTAATTAAGACAGTTTGAGTACATGAGAACCTATTTAAAATTGAGCTAAATTAAGTTTTACCAAGGAAATCTCAAAGCAGAAATTAAATTCTATTTCTCTTATAATTTCAGGTTTTGAAAATTAGAACTAATAGTTTTAGTATATCTGTATTTTAATTGGTTAAATTTTTAAAAAAACAAAAGTTAAAGAGAAACAAGTTTAATATTCAAAATCATATTTTTTCATCATTTGAATTCTTACTATTAACTTGTCTCTTTGTTTACCAAGATGAGGCAATATCTTCTATAGGGAACATATATTCATCTTTATTATCCCAAATACATAAAGCATTTAACTTAGTAGGGTGTATCATTTTGTATGACTCTGGTAGGATTATTAATGACACTATCATTCTCTTCCATCTCCTTCATATCTTCCTTCCTATTGTACCAGAATTGTTCATCAGAATATCATTTGCTCTGTGATGAACACAAATTATCATATCAGGAAAGTCAGATGTTGATACAAAATAGTGTTCTTTTCATTAGATTAAACTGAAATATTAAGTCTGTACCTGGTGTAGTCATACTTAAAAGACCCTTGTAATTCAATAATATGTAAAACTCAAGACATGCAATGAACTTGAAAGAGTAATGTATTTACTTTCACAACAAAAGAGACTATATGGACTTCATGTTTGTTACTTTTTATTGAACTTATCAGTGAAGAGATCATAAGGCAGCAACTCTGAAATCACAAGCATTCATTTACCTCAGGCAAATGCATCCAGGCACTGATATGAGTTCAGCTAGACTAATTGATTAATTGATCAAGACCAAGTAAAGGCTGCAAGAGCCAAAAGGCTACAGATAGAGGATGATTCATTCCTACTGAGGGGCGTTTTCTACATGAACATTAAGGGGAATTTGAAATCTGTGGTGCCCTGTGGATAACTAACAACAATGACTTCAAACCTATCTAAATTCCTCATTTAAGGACTAGAAACTGCATTATAAAAGCGTATCACAATGGTGGTAAACCTGTGGCACACACATGCTCTCTGCAGCCATTTGTTATTGTTGAAATCTGTAAAAGTTTTGCCACTATTGGCATATCAAAAAGGAAGTCTTGCCTACTTCTTAGCTTCGAGCTTCTTAGTTTCTCCTGCTCTGTAGATGTTTAGGTCTCAAAACTATTATCAGGCACAAGAAAAGTTAACATTCCAAGAGACAAAACAGTTGACTTGGATATGACACATATGTTGGAATCATATAACAACAGATTCAAAATAATTATGATGTATATGTTAAACATTCTGTTAAAAAAATGGACAGTTTGCAAGATGGTTCTGTTGGAAAAAATGTGCAGCATATGCAAGATGGTTAAATCCAGCAGAGATATACAAACTAAGAATGAGTAAAATGAAAGTGTTAGAAAAACAGCAACAGAGATGAATGTCTTTAGAAAACTAGTAAGTATACTTGACATAGTTAAGGAGAGAATTAGCAAAAGTAGAGATAGAGCTATAGAAGTTACCTAAACTGAAATACAAGGGAAAAAATGGAAAAGAGGCTAGAATGTGTCTTGCTTAATGTGTACATGGACCTAGATTTGAGCTCAAGCAGCATAAAAAAGTCCAGAAATTGAGAAAAATCAAACCATTATGTAATTAGGATCCATATATCTACAGAACTGAATGCCATCCTGGATAAATTTCCACCCTTTCCTCCTCTAGAGAAAAAATAAACCCTCTTAGACATATAATAAAATTTAAAATATATAAACACTAAATGAAGCAGGTAAGGAGAGAGGATGGTGACACAATACATAAAAAGAAACAAAGCTCGGTGTGGTGGCCCACTCCTGTAATCTCAGCCTTCTGGAAGCTAAAACAGGAGGAAAACTATGAGTTCAAGGTCAGCCTGGTGTGCATAGCAAGACCCGGTCTCAGTAAAAAACAAAACAAGTATTAGAGCAGTCTTCTCAGAAGTCAGAAAAGAATGAGATGGTGGTGTAAAGGTCTAACTGATGAAACTATAAACCTGAACTCCTATATCCAGTAACATATCCTTCAGAAGGAGAAAGCAGTCTTTAAATGAACAAAAACAGAATTTATTGCAAGCAGACTTGCTCTGAATGCTATACAAGATTGCCACTGGGAGTTCTTTATGCAGAGGGGCTTAAAGAGACTGAATGTCATTATAAATAATTCAGAACATCAGGAGGTAGGAGAATGCTGTTCACCACATAGTGAGTGGCCAGGAAACAGAAACAAGAGGAATTTGGAATAAGAATGTACCTTCTAGATTGTGCCCCCGGTGACCCACCTCGTCACTCTGGCTCTGACTCTGAACAGTACAGTCCACTCTGAACTCACCAATGGACAAATTCATTGATGAATATAGTACCACAGCGATTCAGGCATCTCCCGAAAGCCCCATGTCTCAACGTGAGACTTTTGAGTGACGTTTTAGATTTAAACCATCCTACTGTTAGTTAGTTTATTTGATGACTCAAATCAATACAATTAGAGATGTAATTGTACATCTGTTTTCCACAGCAGTTGTACTAGCTCTCGTTCCCATCTACAGTGTATTGTATATGGGTTTTTTTTAACTCCACATCTTCACAATGTGAGTTATTTTTGTTTGATAATATTTATTCTGACTGATGTGAAGTGGAATCTCAGTGTAGTTTTAGTGGCTAACACTGTTGAGCATTTTGTCATGTATTTATTGGCCATTTATATTTTTTTTTTGAGAAGTGTCTGTTCAAATAATTTGCCCATTCATTTATTGGATTGCTTGTTGACTTGTTAACTTTTTTTTTTTTTTTTTTAGTTCTTTATAAGCCCTGGGTATTAGTTTCCTGTCAGATGAATACCTATCCAAGACTTTCCCATTCTGTAGTTTATCTCTTCATTCTGTTGATTCTTTTGCTGTTCAGAAATTTTTTTAATTTGATGCAATCCAATTTGGCAATTTTTGTTCTTACTTCTTCTGCTGTTGGAATGCTATTTTGGAAATTATTACTGTGTTAATATTTGAAATGTTTCCCTCTATTGATCTCAAAGTTTTAGGTTTTACATTAAGTCATTGATCCATTTTGAGTTGACTTTTGTACAGGGTGAGAGATCAGGGTTATAGTTTCAGTCTTTTACGTATGGATATCCAGTTTTTCCAGCATTATTTTTTGAAGAGGTTGTCTTTTCTTTAACATCTGTTTTTGGCATGTTTGTCAAGCATCAGATGGCTCTAGATTTGTGGATTTATTTATTTTTAATATGGAATATTTCACAAATTTGCGTGTCATCCTTGTGCGGGGGCCATGCTAATGTTCTCTGTATTGGTCCAATTTTAGTACATGTATTATGAAAGTGAGCACTGTGTATTTATGTCTGAGGCCTCTATTTTATTCAATTGGTTTGCGTATCTATGTCAATAGACTGTTTTTTCACTCCAGTGGATCTGTACTATGCTTTGAAATTTCTTGTGATACCACTGTTTACATCTCTAATTGTATTGATTTGAGTCATCTTTCTTTCATTTTATTAGTTTGGCTGAGGGTATGTTAATCACATTTATCTTTTCAAGGGGCCAACTTTCTGTTTCATTAATCTTTTGTATTATACTTTTAATCCTTAATTCATTTATTTTGACTCTGTTCTCTTTTTTTTACTTCTTGCCTTCTGCTTGTTTTGGGTTTACCTTGCTCTTGTTTTTCAAAAACTTTGAGATGTATTTTTAGGTTATTTATTTGAGATTGCTATACTTGTTAAAAACATGCTATCATAGCTATAAACTCTATAAACTTCCTGTTAAGAATTGTTTTCCACAGCTTCTCATATGTCATTTTTCTGATTTTATTTGATTCTATGATTTTAAAATTTTTTCTCCAGTTTTTTCAGTAACCCTACTTTATGTTCAAAATTCTATTGTTAGATCTCTGTAAGTTTCTTTGGTTTTTCTTTTCTACTAATTTCTAGGTTCATTGTATTATGATGTGATAATATTCAAGAAGTTACTTCATTTTATGTATTTGTTAAGACTTCATTTATGGACTAAAATGTGATTAATTTTGCAGACTATTCCATGAACTGCTGAGAAAAATATATATTTTTTCAGCTGTCGAATGAAATGTTCTGTGTATGTCTGTTAGGTTTATTTAATCTCTGGTATTTCCTTAATTTTTTTTTTTTTTTTGGTGTAGCTGATCTAGATATTGGTGAGCGTAGGATATTGATATCATTCATCATTATTGTATTGGAGACTGTCAGCTTCTTATATCCAGTTGTGTTTGTTATAAAATTTGACACATTGACATTCAATGTATCTATAACTTCTGAAGGGTTCCTTACCTTATCAATATGTCATGACCTTTGTGTCTTTTCTGACAAAATAAAAAAGAGGGCAAAATATTATACATAAACCATAAAGTTAAAAAATTAAAAGAAGTAAAATTTATTGATGAGGAAAGATGAGACAATAAAAGACTGAAAGAAGAAAAATTTTATTAAATTATATTAAGAAAGAAAAAATATAGTAAAACTAAAAGATAAAATAGAGAATAAGAAATGAAAAAAAATGTCAAATTCCTCTTAGCTGAGGTGTTTAGATTGCAAACACTTCTTTCTGGGCGTGTACCCATTCCCACCATAGGCTATCAGTCTGTATACTTGATATCATGGTTGGTCTGAGCTGCAGTACGCCTTTCTGTCCAATGTAGTTTTGGTGTTTTATGAGATATGTCTGGCAGAGGATGTCTTAGTTACTTTTTACTCGTTGCTGAGACAAAATACCTGATTACCAAAGTTGGGAAAGGAAAGGTATATTTTTTACAGTTTTTGGAGGTTTTAGTCCATACTCAGTTGGCTCCAAGGTAGGGTGGCATGGCAGGGCCACAGTTTATGGCAGCTGCAAGCAAAAAGGCAGAAACCAGCAAAAGAGCAAGACACACCTTTTTCCTGTCATTACATTACATGCTGGCTCCACCCCAAAGCCTCCCCTCACACCCCCAATCCAAGCTCTAGACAATGAACCAATCACAAATGCACAATGCAAATGCACGAGGCCTGGGGGGCCTCAGACATAAACCATGACAGAGGGCTAGTATACAGCCCATTGGACTTGAGTCTGTGTTCCTTGTGGAGTGGAAAATTTCCAAGCTACAGTATATAACCAGGATGCCTCAGAGCATGTGGGGGAAGCAATCAAACCAAGTTCTTTGCTGGAGAGGGGTGGACAGAAATGGTGATTTGCAGCCCTCCAAATACTTTCAGACCTGGCTCCCTTAAGACAGCTTATGCAGCAGATCTTGCTCATCACAGGTAGCAGGACCACTGTTTGCTGTATTCTCCACTGTCTGTCACACCCTGTGCCCCTCTGTTCATACCTTATGCGTGGCCTGACTGGACATTTTCTGACTACTGCTGTCCTGTACAGTTGTCTTTCGTCCTCTTAAGTGCATTGGGTTGTCCATAGAGTGCCAAATTTTTTACTGCTTCCAGTTTTCTGCTCCCAATAGAAGTTCAGTTCCTAATAAAGCTCTAGGAAGATGGCTATAGAACTCTTAGAATTTGCTGAGAATATACTAAAAGTTTCTTCTAGAGCTATCTTGCTTTGTGGAGAAATCATTCATACAAAATTCCCTAGTTGGATTTAAAGTATGTACGAACCATGGGTTTTTTCCTGCAGCTATGATTGATGAACTGCATTTATTATTGGGATGGCTAGGCTTTCTGGTGGCTTGCATTGTGCTTGCGAGGTCTGGTTTCCACTCTTTAGCTGGGGAGCCATTGTGACTTTCTTGGTACTTCACTCTGCATTGGCTTTCCAGTTTTCTGTGCTACTTACATATCTCATCACTTTTGGTTGATTCTTTCTATGGAATATAATACCTACTTTGTTGCCTCATATCCTCTAACTTGTAGAGTGACATGAAATCTACTATTCCATCTCCTTGTCCAGTTCTTGTTTTCCTTTTAGTGATTGTATTTATTAGACACCATGCAGTGACAACACCTTTGCTATGCTGAGAAGACTTGCAGCTTGAGAAGGAAAGGTGTGAAGTTTGTTTTTGAGCAAAAGGCTGGAAAAAAATGGGAAAATTTTAGTTTTGAAAATTCTTATTACTAGTTTCAAAAGTGAGATACAATTAAATCTTAATTTTTGATTTCTTCAGTTCAGTTTAGCAATGTATTAGCCATAATTACTATATTATATATATTAGTGCTTTAAAAGATTTAAATACTTTCTTTGAAAAGTATTTTTCTTTGTCTTTAATTTTGCCATGAAATTTATTTCACATTCAACAATGAATTTTCAAGTCAACTTTGGCAAAGTATTACTTTTTAGGTCAGTGTTGGCTTTTCCTTTTAAGAAAGAAGAAAACATCAGGATTAGGCAACTTGGAAGTTAATTGGAGAATTAAAATAAATATTTCTGATCTCTCTAATGAATTCTTGACCCCTTAAGATTTTGCATCATAGGCCTGCCTACTCAGGTTTTTATGGCATTTTAAAAAATTGGCTGCTTATACCAGATTCAAAAGAAATAGGGGAAAACTGGGAACTGTAGGAAATATGAGAAAACTAGGAGATGTAAGAATAAAGGAGAACATAGGATATTTGGAGCAGACAAAATAGCTCCTCATTGGAAGATGTGCAGAAATAATGAAAATATATAAATAAAAACTGGTTTTAAAAGGTGACATCTATTAAAAGAGTCTGTTTAGTTTTAGAAGAATGATAACATTTTTATTTTAAAGAGAAAAACAAAAATCAAGAAGCAAAAAAACAATCAAAAACAACAAAAAATGACAGCAATAAAAAAAAGAATGGCAATATAGGATTTCAAAACAAGGTGATAGAAATTTAACAGTGATTGTTCATATTGCATATTGTTACAGTAATAACATTTTTATATTGCTAGAATTAAATGAAGTACTGTCTTACCTAGATGACGTTATTTATTACATTCTATGCGATAATCACATAACTTTCCTTGAGTGTCCTTTAAAAGTTGTGATTTTCTTTTCTTCTGTGTACAGTTAGTTAGATTTTAGAGTGTATATCTAGTGTCATCTTCCTTATCTATGTTTATGATGATTTAAAAGGTGACGATTTTGATAGTTTTTATGCTTCTTGTAACCCTCATTTAACCGTCAGAATAGCTCCATAATATGGGTATTATTATTGAGCTTATTTTATAGTTGAAAAAATTGAAACCCAATGTGTTTTTTCACCGCAGAGCATATTTTCTTAGTAAGTTACTGAAGTGAAATTTAAATTTACTACTAAATTTGAGTTCATGTATTTGTGACATACTCATGGAGCAAGGTTAAGTTATTGATTTGAGGCTTTTATGTGTTATGACATTCAATAGATTTTTCTTTAGCAGGTTATACTCTTCACATAGTCTCCATTATTGAGAAAGATTACTTGTAAGGCAAAAGTAATTATTAAACTATTCTGTTTGTATATTTATCATTTGCTTACTTAGCAACTAAAGTCAAATTTTAATTACAAATATGAAATTTAGTATATTTTAGAGATAGAATCTTAGGGAAAAATATCAAATTAAAATTAAGCATTGTTGAAATAAATATTTTGTAGTTAAGTTACCTGACTCTAAAGTATTATTGTTAATCATTTGGTCCTTCAAAACAATAAATTTATTTTGTTGTAGACTGAAAATGTTTATGGACAAGTTCTTATGGCTTATGTCTAGATGTACTCCCCCCGCCCCCAGGCCTCATGCAGTCATGCAGGACAGGCTTTTCAGAAATGGCTGACTCTAGAGTATATGATGCTGGGACTAAGGATGTAATTGCTATACCCACACTATGATGGGTGGCCTGTATATAGTAGAAGGGAACAGAAAGAGTCTTGTCTTTCTTTCCTTGTTTATTTTGCTATCATTCCACCACCAAGAATGACAGGAACAGTTGCCCCTCTGCCATATACCACCCTGCGTTGGAGCCAACCAATTGTGGACTGAAACCTCTATGAACTGTGAGCTAAATAAACCTTATCTTATTTACCTTTTGGTATCATGCATTTTGTCTTAGCAATGAGAGAAACATAACTAAGACATAATTTGGTACCAGAGAAGTGGGGCTGCTATACCTTACCATGTAGCATGATCAATATATTTAAAATTTGTGTCTGTAACTTGTTTGTAACTTTTGAATGCAAATGTCTATCTTGTGCCATTGAATGCTGGACTTACTTAACTTTCTTATCATTTGTACAGGGACTCAAATCTAAGAATTTGGTCTAAATCTCAGAGAAGACTTAAGACTTGGGCTATTCAGTCATGTTGAAACTATTAGGACTTTAGCAATTCTTGGAGATTTAGTAAATGCCTTTTGCATAAAGGGATGTG